GATTTTATTAGGAGTTTTCCCAATAAAAGGGAAAAATCAGGAAAATCTATACAGATTTAAACAAATATATTAAAAAAACTATATAATGCCTATACTGATACTGGTGATGGTAGCGGCCACTGTTGTAGGTGAAATGTTGTGAAGGTAGGAATATAAGGTTATTTCATTTATATCTGTATGTAACGATAAACCATTGCTTGACGAAAGACGATTCCAAGTACAGTTCGGTATTATTTAATTTGAAGCGCAGTAATTTTTTTTTTTTTTGCGATTTTCGTTTAAAATTGATTTCAAACCGCTTATTAAAAAAAAAAAAAGTCGTTTGATGATTTTGTAAATTTCACCACGTCTAGGTGCGTTGTATTTTTAACCGAATTACTGGAAAAAAACTCCCAAAAATTTCCTAAAAGCTCGAAAGTTGCTCAAAAGTTTTAGCGATGATACCGTAAGAGAGTAAATCAAAAAGGTATTTTCGATTAAATCATTTTTCTTGGTAGAAAACGTCATCCGTGGTTATTATAAAATATAAAAATCGTGAAATTGTAGGTTTTCCTACTTATGATTTCATTTAAAAAATAGCGTCAAAAATCAAAAAAATGACTTTTCTAAAGTGCCATCTAGAAAACTTGAGCTTTCATAAAAGTTACTACACGTAAAAATCGGAGCAAGTTTACCAGGAAACACCGTGTCCACAGACTAGAAGAAGGAGAAAAAAAAGACAAAAATAAATAGCATTGTAAAATCAAAAGCTCTCTCGCTACGCTCGGAATCTAAAATTATAAAATGAAATGAGCTAGTTGCTTGTGGCAGTTTGGTGGACAGTTGATTTCCTATAAAGATAATTTCGGGGGTATAGGCCGCGTCGAGTATGTACCTATTGTATTCGGCTGCAGAATCATAAAAATTCAAAATATAAGTAGGTACCAAAATTCTAATGATTTTTCATGTATTGTTATTAATTATTATTAAAATTCAATTGCGCAGATTTTTTGATACTACACACTTTTGATCGAAATATTTGTATTACTTTTTAAATTAATCTTTACCTAACCCATAAGCGACCCGCGTTAGAAAAATTACTAAAATAGCTTAACTGTATAATTTGTAAAATGTTAGTTACTATGTTTTATGTTTCGATTATTATATTTGTGCTGCGATTAATAAACGCGTGTCTTTATTTCGATAGAATGGATTTTATCAGTCACATTTGTTTTCTAAGCGGGATATTTTATTATTTTTGAAGACAGCGGGACACATAGTTCAAAAGTGGGATTGTCCTACCGAAAACGGGATGTATGGTCACGTTAGGCATGCGTGTTTAACTTAAATTAAAAATTGTACCTAGTAACGATAAAATAAATTACAATTGTCATGTTTTTTTTTCAGTATTTTTGCTAGGCCAAACAAATTTGTATTCTGTTCTCCTGTATAATACCTATATGTACATTTTTAAATATTTGTTTGTATCTAATTACAAAGTATCTGATGTCGTCTTTACTTACATTAGTTGATTTACGTGCATCAAATTACGAATATGTATTGACGTCATAAATAAGTTTAACTACGGTGATTGAATAATGAATTTGAGCCGCGCATACATTAATACATAGAAAACATTACCAACATTATTACTCAAAATGTTAAAAAATATTGAGTAGGTATTTCTTTTTAAATGTTCTGAAAAATATGAGGCAATTTAAGATAACATTATAATTTCTAAAATAATATTATTTTAGAGTCTTATTATAAATATTAGTATTGTGAATTTTAAAACAAATTATTATTTCTCGTGTGCCTGTATATGAACACGATTTTAACATAGATAATAATAAAAAAAATTATTACTTATCTATGGGTTTTAACCTGAAGATCTCTAGGAGTCATAAATATCCCAACAACAACAGTCTTGCAAAGTATGTTATAACGACCGATCTTTTAAAACTGTGTCATTTCGAAACGTAGTTAGGTACCACCTAATTTTATTCAATACTTTTTTTAAAAGAATTTTGATTTTCAATTTTTAATAACTATAGATTACCTACTTGTTTATCAACATTTTTAATTCAAAATTATAATTATAATTACCCTTAAATGACGCAGGTATGTGTTATACGCTGGTTAAATCATAAATACTTCGCGATAAAACGATTTTACGACACAAGGTTGTTTAACGAATAATTCGTTAAAATTATATGAATATATGCATATAATTGTGGGGTTTTTTACTTGGAATTACTTGCTAATTATAAGGACATATTATTCATATTAATTATATAATTGACATCTAATTTCTAATGTTGAGTTAGCTCACCTTATTTGCTTTATCGCCAATGTAAAAATAATGACTCGTAAATTTCAAAACCAAACTAGCAAATTCTTGCTAATTACTTGCAAAATATTCACACTAATTTCGTTGATTTCTGACTAATTGGACGGGCCAACTTCATGACGATTAACTACTAACAGGAGCTACTAACTTCCTAGGTGCCTCAGTTAATTTAAATCATAATATTTATTTTATACCTGTAGTAGGTATTTATATTATGAACTGGTAAGATATTAAAAGTTCATTGAAAAAAAAAAGAGCTGATACAACTAATGTATTACGATTTTTTTTTTGTGCACAATTTTTCTACCAACAATTTTGTTCCAACTTATAATGATAGCAATGTTTCTAAAAGGACATTTCACCGGGGAAGTACTTTAGAGAGATCATTTTTCGATTTTCTCAGTTTTCTCATCAAATATGAAAAACCGAAAAACTAGGAAAATCGGTACAACATTAAACAAATATTATTAAAGAAAATATATAAAACCTATTTCACTCTTTTACTATGAAATAAAATATATTGTTATTAATTGAACTCCGCTCAGAATAGTTTTTTCGTAAGCAATGATAAATTATTGCTTACAGGTATACATTAAATTACTAATAACACTGGCTGCACTCGTCCCCATTATCCAAGGACGTCTTTTTGTACATAATCCTTGAAAAATAGCATTTTTGGAATTAATCCAAAATGTAGTTAAAAATGGATATTTTTATTTATTATTATTATTTGTAGATATTGATAATTTTTTATTGAAATCGGAATAAGTCTATCTGGCTTAGTTTTAGAGTTACAAACGTTTAAAACGCGCCATGTTTCTCTGCGCTTAAACTAGGACAATTTGTTTTCGAGGATAACTTTCGATTTGTTGTGCAAAAACACGTTGTGTACATGACGCAACTAGGGGGCCGCTAGGGGGTCTTGAGTACCCCCCAAAAAATCCAATAAATTTTTTCATAATAATGATTAAATATTTTATCCATGTATTTAATGAGCAGAACAAAATACAGATTTTTATAAACAATTCATGTGTGTGTATAAAATGTTTATTATACATACATATATATACATGAAACATAATATTAAAATAGTTATGATAAATTTCTATATGATATAAAACTATGAACGAAATGTGTGCCTAGTTGTTTATTGTAAGAATCTTGTAAAGGAGATTGCGGGGGGCATAACCCCCATGGAATTTTTGATAAAGCACTTCCAAAGTTAGTAGTCTAGTTGCGCCTATAGTTGGGTAGGTGACAGGATAAAGTGAAAAAGTATTATGTAGGTATATTAATTATATAAATACAATTTTAATCGAAAATAACTCGATTATACTAATGGATTAAGTATTTAAAAACACACATTTTGAAAAGAAAAAAAAATCGAAAATGTTAAACTCTAACTAAGCATTACGTGAAAAGGAAAACCCGAACTTTTCCCCCATAACTTCCAAACAAAGTTTGTCAGACTTTTTTTTTACATTCTTAATTTAGGTATATTGAGCAAAAATACATGTTTTGAAAAAAAAAAAAAACGAAAAATAAGCTTAGGCCGTAAACTAGATTTGCCAGGGTATCTGGTAGAAAAGTTTTTTAGTCAGAACAAAAAAATACTCGCTAGCTAACACGCATTAGTAAATCCAATACATTCCGAGCCCAAAATCTAAAGCATGTTTACTTTTACGGGGACGTCATTCGAGGGATTCGGATTATACTTGGGCAGTCCTATTATTTTTATAAACGTCTTTCCGGTACGTATAAAATGTTTTAATTGCGTCGTTGGTAAAACGCAAAATGCAAAAAACGTACCTATCGAACCACTGTCAATGACCACGTCTATGCCGGAGTCCAGCGATGTAATTAATTGTAATCAGTACACCACAGTGTTAATAATCGTTACAGTGGTTAAATATTCAGACGTTTCAGCAACAGTGTGCGTCGAGAAACTGACCTCATGCGGAATAAATCATGGTACAATGAGTTATTTCGTGGAAAATAACGAACTTATTATGGTCTTGGTTTAGTATTAATGGAATTGTAATTTGTATAACGTATATAACAATAAAATATAGTAGGTATTTGATTGTCAAAATGTAACGCGGAAATGCGAACACGAGCGACCGGAAAACTCGTCAGTTTCACAAAATAAACACGATACCCACGTAATCGACCCGGGGGAGCGAAAAATCGGCCGGATTAAAATGTTTGTGTCCCTATTGAAAAACCGAAATGACGCCCCTACGTAATAATACTAATTGATGCAAATGTTTTTATTCTCAGTCACTTTGTTGATATCACAGTTTTTTTTTAAATTTTTTTTAGCTGAATCCCCCGACGTCTGTATACCGAGTCAGTTTTAACCGTTTTAACCTTGGCCCGACTTCCACATGTAATTACAGAGTTTATTCACATTGTTTTATCATGACACGATTGGCACGTGACATATAAATATTAGTTATTATATATAGGTAGGTAAGGTATACTATACCAATTATTAGGATTAATAATTTACAGCGCAGAACCGTCATTGAATAAGTAGTACGCATATTTAAAATTTTTTTTTTTCGTCATAATATTAGTATATTAGTATTGCCCATTGTCACTAAAATTTAATATTTTTATTTTGTTTATATTAATTTAACAATCACACAAATATGCAGTAATCGTATGACAGAAGGTTAGGATAATTTATTTTTAAAATATTGACACATTCGACATTTCTCCGAGAGAATGTTAATAATCGACCGTCTGCTGCAGTTTTCGACTTTCACAACTTGATAAAAAATACCTAGAATAAGTGAATACCTACGTAGCGCGCCGTAAATATTTGCCTTGTTTCTTATAATTTTTGTTTCCGGTTTTTCACAATTATTTTGTTTAAACCCCTTTAGAAAATCAAATAATCACCTCTTTAATGCACCAAATAGATCCAAAATGCAACAAAAAAGGTCATTTATAATAATGATTTCGATTTGAAGCATTTCTGTTCAAAGTGGTTTACAGACAAAAAAAAAAAACATATACACATACCACAGTAAAACCCATCGCTAGGCTACGAATCTAAAATATTAAATTTTAATGCGTGCCAATGGCGAATTTACGAAGATGTCCAAGGGGTTTGTACTCCGCCCAAACACCGAAATAATTTCAATAAAATGAAGTCTAAAAAAGAGCCATCCATAAACAGATACCTTTGAAATAGATATGATTTCTCATGGCCTCCTTCCAGAAAAATTGTTGAAAATCCGCCACTGATGTGTGTATATCGTATAGTGTGCGAATGTTAGTGTATTATGTAGATATGTGCGAGTGCCATTACTCGTTCGCCGATTTATATAGTCGCATTTAAAAAAAATTAAATAGTAACTTATCAGACTCGTAAACTATCAATTATATATTTATATACTATTAAATATTAATACTTAATAACATAGTTATTGTTATTGTTTCGACTATGAATTGTTAACAGTGAAGTATTTTGTAACCATATTTCATTTGATTTTATCAATTATTGATTATTGTATTGCCATTGTAAATATGAACACATACAAAATGTCAAATTGATTGGAACACAGAGTAAATAAAAATGAATTGCAAGATTTCGTGATATGACTTGAGGCAAATTAATAAAAAGCATATAAAAAAAACAAAATGTTCGTTTTAAACAGAAGATGCGTAAATATTCCTGGTTTCCATAATTTCCGGTCAGTTTTTCAGTTTTCTACTATTATTAATAAGAGTACTAGGCATTTTAAAGAACTACTAGATATCTATACATGCTAAAAAAATTAATTAAATTATCTGAATAGTATTATTATGAGGTACATAGCAAAATATTGAACACAATTTGTGAGAACGAGAATATCTTGAATTAACAATTATTTAACTGACAAAACGTTGAGCATTGATCGATTATTGAACAATTGAACATTGATCATCAGAACCTTAGCTGGTATTGGTGCAAGGGACAGCTTGCTATGCATATAGACTTTGCTCGTCAACTCGACTTTATAGTTTATTTAGTTTTAGCTCTATTTTTTGAGTTAATTTTAGTAAAACAAACAATTGAACTATAGGATGGCACAAAAAAAAAGTACAGTAAAACATTTATTAAAATAAATATTTAAATATTTATTGAAGGATTTTAATCCAACCTTTCCATTATAAATCATAAAAGGTGAAATAATTTACACTGCTTCGTTATACAATTTTCATAGAAAATAAATAGCAAACTATTACATTGTTATTTACATAGACAAATTATTGTTGAGAATTTGTATTATTTCAAAAAGAGATGCATATTCACCACAGAGTAATTATGCGATATTCTAGCAAACAAAATTAAAATTAGTTTAAAAACTATATATTTTTACCAAGTTCTTAATAATACTCAGTAATGCTTAAGTTATATTTTGTTTGTAAGAGTTCAGAAGGTGGCTTTGACTTTTTCGAGCCTATTACATATTTGATTAACATCACATCCCATTTCTTTATACTTTGAGGAACATTCTCCGATCCAGCTAGCTTCGCCACTTCTATGAGACTATAAAATTAAAATTAAATAACATGCATTAAATTAGTATGTAAGTAAATTGCATAGGAAGTATTTTTAAAAACTTACTTCTTCAAGATCACGTTTCCAAGTATTACGACAGTGTCCTACACAAATAGGACAAGGTCTTTCAAGAGAATATCCCCCGCATTCTAAACAGTCCAGCGACACGTGGTCTTGCTCCCAGTTAACTCCACAACTAAACAATTAAAATAATGATTATTCAAATAAATGATTATTGAATCATTTATTTACATCATGTAACAAGAATTTTCAATACTTAATATTATTATGTTGCTACAAACAGTTTCAATTACTCATTATTCCTGAAGATAAGAACAGCACATGTATTATATATTTTTTGTTCATTGTAACATTTAGATTTTGTTTACAAATCTCTTTAGTATAGTCTTTTAGTTATTTATTACCAGATAACAAACAAATTAACTAGATTAGTTTAATAGTATTTAGTAAATAAATATTTTGAAAACATTAAAACTATTTGAATTAAAATTTGAACATTTAATTAATTTTATAGTAATTATTAAATTATAAGCTTTTAATGCTGACTGGATTCTTTTAAATACTTTAAAATTGTGTCTTAGTTATCTAAACATATTTATAAACAGTGAAATCTTAATGTGGCCACCTGTGGGTCCAATGTGGACTTATATGGGCATAATAACTGGTCCCGATTCAAATGTATAACAATACTCATTTCGATTAAAATATGCAATCCTTTTTGTGGAAAATGTAACTGGTCCAAATGTACCCAAATTAACCGGAATCCACTGTATTAGTATTCTATTCATTTTTTAAAATAAAATACTAATTGTATATGGTGCAGTTATAAAGTGCATACCGAAAACAATATTTGAAAACTCCTTTGAGCTCCTCGAGAGTAACTGCCTGCTCAATATCGCTGACTAGATCAATGTTATCAAACCTTTGATCATTGATACTCCTCAAGTTTTGGTTGTTCATGGACTGGATAGAGGTTGATGACATCTTGTTATGATTTTCTATGAAACAAATTAAAATAAATTAAATAGTTAAATTGTTATTAGTTGTTAAATATTGAAATTTCTTAAGGTTATGATGTACGAGTATACATAATATTATATGCAAGTATGTACATTGTATATAGTTATGACGAGTAATAAAAAAAAAATAGCTCAATAAAAACTGTTTATATCCTTTATACTAGAGCCCTGCATAGAGCTAAATTTTAAAGGCCAGACTAACCCGGCTCAGTTCAGTGAAATATTAAGCCTAGTTAGTACTACTTTAGTAAATTATTTGGTCCATCATTATTATTATTATTTTTTTTTTTAATATGTTTATGCATTTTTTTAATAGTATTTAAACTGAAATTATTTCCATGGGTTATATTATAGATAATATTGTGTTGATAATTATGTTTATTTAATAGAATACGTTCAAGCCTATAGAATATTGAATTAAAAATTATATTTTTTGATAATAAGGGTGATTAGAATCATGTGGTATTATAGCATCAGTGTGTGTAGGTTTTCTGTAAATACTAAAATTAAATTTATTGTTTATTATGGAAACTATAAAATCTAAGAAATTTAATTAATTATTCATTTGTATTTCGAGTGTAAATTGAATGTTTTTATTTATTTTGTTAAAGCAGTTAACTAAATTTTCTGCTCATATATTATGACAATTTTCTAAAACATAATAAAAGTTTTGATATTAATACAGACTTAAAAATATTAAATACCCAAAATAACATTTACATCAATTCGGTTTAAGAAGAATTACACATACACAATGAAATGAAGAAAAATAATTTTAATGATATTTTAAATGTTAAAAGCCGATTTTAAAAACAGCTAATACTGGGAGCGGCCACTGTTGTAGGTGAGAAGTTGGAAAGGTAGGATACATAAGGTTATTTCATTTATATCTGTAAGCAACGATAAACCATTGCTTGACGAAAGATGATTTCAAGCGAAGTTCGGTAATACATAATTTGAAGTGCAGTCATTTTTTTTTACGATTTTTGTTTAAATTTGATTTCAAAACGTCTATTAAAAATAAAAGAAAAAAAGTCGTTCGATGATTTTAGAAATTTAACCACGTCTGGGTAAGTCCATTATAAGTATTATACCAAATTTCAAGTCTCTACGTATATTTATAACCGAATTATAGCAAAAAACTACCAAAAATTAAAATTCTTTAACATATCTGTGCCTAATAATAACTAATTTTAAATAATCTCTCCTATTAAAATAAATTATTTCTATATTCTAAGTAAAACGACTAATTTGAATAATGTATTTTTTTTTTTAAATTCCAAACCAGTAGTATACTACACTCATCATAATATTCCAGGCGACGCATTTATTCATTTTATTTTTATATATACATTTTTTACTTAAGTATATTTATTTACTTTATTTATTTACGAGTGTTAACCATTTTAATAATTTTGTTATTACTTTATTATTTTATTAATTAATTGTTGTAACTTTTTATAAATTAAGGAAGACAAATAATAAAATAAATCGTAAATTATCGTTTCAGGAATTTGTTTTTTCAATATACCAGACAAGTATTATTATAACTAATATCTTTCTTGACTGCCTTGAAGTTACATAATAATACATGTGTTTTTTTTACATATGAATATATTTGTAACACAGACGACATGAGTAATTTTACGCACATTTTTTTAGGAGAACAGGATATATATAATGCATATTTCAACCATTTACTTCAGGAAGCATGACAATCCTGATAAACTGGTCTCTACGACCTTCATAATATGACAATGTGACAATAGATCACTGCTCGTTTAGTTAAGTGCTATGTTTTTGTTTGATCTATAAACCATGAAACAATAAGTAAGTCTACTTACTTAATATTTACAATATATTTTAAAGCTGTATAGAAATATTTCTAATTATTCAATATTTTTTAAATTAATTTTTACTAAAAATATATAATTATAATGTAATTCAATATAATTAATACATTTTAATTGATTTGGTTGAATAAATAAATAAATATTGTATAAATAAAAATAATACACAAATCCTAATTATATAAATATTATTAATCACAACTTACAATTTCAATAGATACTGTTTTTTGATTAAAATTTCAATTGGTCATGTTATTTCGAAATAAGAATTGAATGAGAAAATGTTTTCTTTAAATTTTAATTGGAATATGTACCAAATTATAAATAATACTAATTACATTTTTACAAAAAAAAAAATATAGGTACTTTTTTAAGTTCATACAATTTTAGCAACTTTAATTACAGTATTCGGCACAGAATGATTTCCTAAAAATTTGAATGTATACAATTTATTGAATAAGTACTGACGAACAATCAGTTTATTAGCCTTTAAAGTTTTTATGATAACAGAGTAGGACTATTCATGAGGAATATCACTATTGATAAACCATTGCTTGACGAAAGACGATTCTGAGCGCAGTTCGGTGATACATAAATTTAAGTGTCGTCATATTTTCTTTTTTTGCGATTTTCATTTAAATTTGATTTTAAAACGCCTATTAAAAAAAAAAGTCGTCCTATGATTTTGGAAATTTTACCACGTCTAGGTGTGTCTAATATAAGTATTAATTACTAAGTTTCAAGTCTCAATGTGTATTTATTACCGAATTACCTCAAAAAAACTTTTAAAAGCTTATAATTTCTTAAAAGCTCAAAAGTTTGGCGATGATACAGTAAGAAAGTAAATCAAAAAGGCTTCGATTAAATTATTTTTCTTGGTAGAAAACGTCGTCCGTAGTTTTTATAAAATAATGAAATCGTAAAATTGTAAGTTTTCCTACTTATGATTTTATTTAAAAAATGGCGTCGAAAATCAAAAAATGACTTCTCTAAAGTACCAGACTAGGAGAAGGAAAAAAAATAAAGACAAAAATAAACAGCATTGTAAAATCAATAGCTCTCTCGCTACGCTGGGAATCTAAAATATAATATTATTGTATATTCATATTAATCTTTGCCCCGCAACTTTTGGGCACTTCTAGTGACTTATTCTGGCCCGATTTAGTTCAAATTCGATAATTCAAGTTGTTTTATAGGCAGATTGGAGTGATAAAACTTGGGTTGAATTTAAATATGATTTTCATAATGTCACGGGAGTTGAGTGTTTTTATAGCTTTCAATAATCCTACAGACCTCCCCAGATGAAACTTTTAACTACCCCTTCCTACTATTTATATACACTAATTTCATAATTTTTTGGAAACTATAATATAGTTTTAGCACAGTACTTATTGTCCATTATTCGGTTATTTATTGACTTATTGTTTTATAAATATTTTGTATTATTTCTATAATACAAAATAGGCGGGGGAAATTTGTTTCTAGTGATGGAGCAAAGGCTACTCATGAGTGTTTATTATGTTAACATTTTTGTTTTTTATTGGAAGTTTTTATATTTATCTTATAATTGAAAAAATTACAAAGGTTTAACCGTTAATTTCTTAGGACAGACTTATAATATTGTTTTCATCCAAAATAAATAATGTTTTACTTTTATTAGGTACCTATATTAATTGTTTATATAGGTAACTAAAATTTTTTTTAGTTATTAATGACCTTGTAAACGTTTTTATAAAATGTCTACAAATATAAATCAATTACGCGGGATTAGAGATTACACAAACACATTCCCTTGTAGCTAAAAGTAAACGTGAATAGTTTAGATGATTTCTTTCCGTATAACAAATCGGAATGCAAAAAAATAAAAATTAAAAAGTAATCAAGTAAGAGAAAGTTACTATTGAGAATATTACAATTTGAGTGTGTTTAAAATTACTAAAGATATTACTCATACTTTTCTTAGAAGTTAATTTTTTTTTCAACTAAATATTTCCTTGTAGGTGTAATTGTAGGCCGTAAACATTTTCGTTTTTTTTTTTTTTTTTACATGGCATACTGTACACCTGGAAATTGCAATTAATAATTTGCACTTGACGAATTGAATGAATATATGCAATATATGTATAGACTGATTAACCTTGAAAATGACGCGTGATGGTGATGGCTGGTGGTGTTAATTTATAACAACTGTAAGTACATGGTTTTGATTGGAAATTTTATGATTGTTATTACATTTTAACCGGGATATAATTTATGAAAATATTTTTTACAAATGTAACAAGGTCAAGCTATTGTATTCTGTATAGGTGTATGTACGCCCATAATGCAATTATTATCATTGTCAATTGTCGTATTATAATATGAATTGCAATACGTAGGTTGGTACATATTTCGATTTATTTATATTGTGTTTTATTAGTAGGTGATATTGATACCTGCTTGATGTTCTATTGTTTTAAATGTTTTAATATACCTGATGTCGTTTTTAGAATAAACAAATATATTACCTAATTATTAATTTATAATAATTAATTATATGTCCATATAAAAAAAAAAAAAAAAAAAAAAAGGTTTTTTGGCATACTTTCCATAGTTCGTTAATATTGCAGAAATTTCATTCAAGGGTTGAAAACATTAGGCGATGCCAAACATCCCAAGATTTTTAAAATTTTGTATTTTGTATTTTGTAAAATTTAATATTTTGTTTAAATCATTTCGAACATTATTTTAATCGGCTGTTTTTATAAAACCCGATTTTCTCATATTTAAAATATACAAATTTTTAATAATCCATATTTTTAACTTGATATAATAATACATTAATATTCCAAACATTTATATTACCACCATATATTTTACCTATAATATTTCAAAACGAAAAATATCGTTACAATAATAATCTTGCATATACCTATATAGCTGTTTTCTATAAGATCTTGCAGATCTTATATAAATTCAAATAATTACAACTTGCCGCCTTTTTGTAAAAATATTCATTGTCTTCAACTGGTTTTAAACTTGTTTAAAACGTGTTTTTACACGTAAAGATAAAACAAGTTTTAAACGATTTAAATTGTTTAAAACTGTTCCAAACTATCAAATAAAGTTTTTTTTTTAAAAAAAAAAAACATGTTTCTATAAACCCTGCTTCTTTTATATAGTTTATTATGGTTTTATTAAAATAAATAAATTCTAAACTGGTATTTGACGGAAAATAATTACAATATTTAATAAATGGACATTGAAATGTGTCATATTTTACAACTACTAATCGTTTTCCTCGAAACCCGTTTGTAAAGTTTTCCTTTAACTTCCCTGTTAAAGTACCCAACTACTATTATTTTTAATTAACAGAATATAATATAGTTTTTAATAAAATAATATTTCTGGGGGATTCCGAGAACTATTGTCCGCTACAATAAAGGTATCAGTCTTGTCCTGTCGAATACCTATATCCGGGAATTGCGGCCTTCAGAATTGGCCTTCTTCCAAGTCGATGGCAATATCAAGTATATAAGTAGTGAGTCTACAGACGCGTATGGTTCCTTCGAATACATCAAATCGACGATGTGTTAATGTATTTTAGTTCCAAAGTCATTCGTCAAATAAGTTTTATTCCTATCATTGTTTCCTAATCTTACTCGGATATTTCGATAAAGAATGCATCGGCGTAATTTCACTAAGAAAAAAATTAATTGCATGCAAGAAAATTAGGCCATAATATAAATTATAAATTGTTTATGTTGAGAATTTTATGATTAATTGTTCTATTATACGGCGAGCATAATAATATTATAACGTGTATTATTGCGTGGGCGTAGCACGTATAATGTGTACAATATACCTACTATAATATAGTTAATAATCCTATATTATAATGAAAAATTTTTAACATTTTACCGTGTCTTTTGAATGTTAATCGACCTTCTTAACAAAACTTCCGATTGCGCGCGAATTATGACCTTATTTAGGTTGTATAACTACAGTACGCGTATGTTGATGACTTTACGAAATTGCCCACATGGTTATCGAACAATTTCCGTCCGTGACTTTTAAGCGTGAATTCCTTTGGTCTGGCGATTTGTTTGAAGATTATGTTACATTGGGTATAAAATTATGTTAAGTGCCTACTATTATACCGTATTAGCCACGTCGTTAGACGAAAACCTTCGTATCCCCGTGGCGGAATTGATGTAAAAAATGTCATTACAAGCTGGTATGCGACACGTGTTTGTGTTTGGGCACTGTAATATGGCAGAAACCTAATGTACCAATACGCAATAATACACATTCTGCGGTCCATCAATGCGCGGACATAACAGTACATTTTTGCGGAATGTGGTTATAGGTGTTCGCATTATATTACACGAAACAATTATTTTGGTGTCGGATAAACGCTCGGTCTATAGAATATCGTCGGGAATAAAAAAATGAATTAACTAATTAATAAATAAATAAATTATTAAATATTTTCCGGAAAGTTTTCTGTTCGAGATTCGATTAATTCTATAACACAATACAGTAGGAGGTACCCATATATAGTACAGTATTTACATATTTATATTATACGAAATAACGTCGAGTGACACCGAAGCAATACATTTATTAAACGCCGTCACTATACGACATTATACACGCATAAGAGCGCATAATATAGCTCATTGTCGTATTATTATGACCTAAAAGCTAAAATTATTGTTTATTTCGTGTAAACAAATTTACGCGCGTTGTCTTGTAAATCGAACATCTGACAAAAGTGCCACGGTAAACTGCTGCAGCAGCGTTGACTGATTGGGCAATGTTATATACCAAGTTATGGTATGCTAATGAAATTGACGATAATTACGCACGTGCGTACACGTTGCTCAGTACGGTGGATACACGATTTACAGTTTAAATAAGTTTTTGTTTGACTTTGTCGTAAAGGGTAGGCACACGTGTGTATAGGTACGGGTATTTGCAGGGGTTTCTGCTCGTAAATGTCACGACTTCGGAGTTAGGATGCCATAAAGTGTGATACATTGTATCTGACGGATTAGGTAGGCTACTCTTCTGAAGGAATTAACGTAAATCTTGTCCAGAAAATCTAAACAATCATACTGCTACAGGCGAGTTGTTTTAGAAAGTGCATGACGAAATATTGTTTTAAATCGCATGGTATTTGTGATGAGACGCACTACCGCCTATTTAGGTATACTGTAATGAGATATTATTAGTGTTTATACCAACTATGCATGACCGACTAGACCAAAAACAATATTCCGAAGATCTTTGAAGTTTTAATACAACTCGGCCCCATACGGCTATTTCAGAACACGTTTATTATTATTATTATTGTTATTATTTTTATTATTATTATTTTTTTTTTTTTGATGTATAATTGTTTTATTTTTGGTTTTTTTTTATTATGTTTAAGATAATTCGTAAACTTTAATAAACACCTGGAAGGTCGTCTGTGTTTATGTTTACGTTAAACACGAATACGACCTCGAAATCTGAAATGTTTTTTTGACGGAATGACCTCCCTACTACGAAAAATACGCTCCCCTATGCTAAATCGATAAACCGTGACGGCCAAGGTCTAAATAAGTCGGTTACCCCTGTACAGTATAATCGGTACGTAATTCAATATTGAAAATCTCAGATAAAACTGTTATTAAGGTCGAATTTCAAATGTATTTATTTTTTCGAAATTTGATCATTTACACAGGTACACTATCGGTAAACTATACCAGGTAACTACGTAGGTATTTCGAAACACAGCAGACTTATGACAAGGATTTATAATAACTAACTCCGGTTTAATAAACAAATTTTTTTTCACTATTGAAAAAACATCCGCGCACTATAAACATCATAGGTATACGATGAAAATACAAAATAGACATTCGATTATTCATGGGATTTATCCCACGAAAATCGACGGAATTGGACAGTAATCTGGTCCTAATCTGTACGGTATCACCCTCTACGCGCCCCCGTGTGTATCATCATATTTTCTTCGCCAATGCACTTTTTCTTAGTGCCGACATTTAAATATCTACATATTTATTTGGATTTATTTCATATAGCAATAACGCGTGGGTAAAGTGCATAATAAGGACCATGAATTAAGACGACATTAGGTATATGAAGTTATTTACGAAGCATAAACCGCACGAAGAGATAACCATACACTGGTAACACCTACTCATCAGATTTATAATCTAACATACCTATATTAGGTTCCATTAAATAGGTATTAAAGCGTGTACGCGAGTGTGTGGGTACGCGTAACATAATATAAAAATATATCTATCGATAGATTATATCATCTATATATATATACAGGCAGGTATTATGGCTAGGTACAATATTGTTATTAAAGAGTACCTGTACGGGGGGGGGGCGAGGTGAAGCCGTGTAGGATAGTGATAAAAACTGTTCTGAAAACTATTGACACACGAACACTGGAGTACGCTTAAAACGAACGTACGGACAATTGCAATATGGATTGACCTATTGACCAATCGTAATTTGAGTGCGTAAATCCTTATCTATGGTGACAGGATTTTGAAGTAACGATTATTTTATCGACATGTTGACTAGACATTTTCAAGGGAAAAACATTAAAATTTAATTTTAATCGATACAATTTATAAACGTTGTTGTACAACATAGCCGTGGTGGTAATAGTCGGCTAATGACCATTAGGCGCACAACAATATCAATATGCGTGCGTCAAAAATAATACAATATCTGCGGAATATTACAATATATACTCACGTATGATCCAAAGACGAAAACGGCGACGTTCGGACTAAACGCCTATTGCGATGGGTGCGAGTAGTTTGTTATTTTATAGGTTTGCAATCGCGGTGACGGTCTACAGAGAAAATTCTTACGAATCGAAGCGTGCTACGGGCGATTGGCGTATAAAAGTGTGTAACGGAGAATTCCGGACACGTTTGCCGACGATCGTGTAATATTGTTATTTACACGCGCAAGTGCCTATTGAAATAATTGTATTGCCGACGGGGTCGTAATAATATCCCGTAGAAATAACACCCCGGATAACGCGAATATAGACCGACAGGAGTGTTGAAAAACGATCGGCGACGTACCTACGATATTCAGACACTCGTCTTCGAGTCTATTAATAAAATACAACTGGGAACGGGGAAACGTTCGCGCGTATCGACGGCCGCTGGCGTACAACTGTTGTCCGATTACCCAGTCGCCGTGGTCGCGAGCCGTTGGCCGCGGTTCCCGACGATAACGAAACGTCGTGCCACGGAGATACTCGATAAACGACTCGGTAATGCGCATGCGCCTCGCGCACTCTGCATTCTCGTCGCGGCGCGATATAATAGTATGACAATAATAATCGCGTTGGTAGGTAAGTGTTTGCCATTCGGTTTTGGTAACCACTATAATGTAGCCGCTCCTGCGCCGCGTCCGCGCGACGATCTGCCCTCGAGCGCCCGGCCGTAATGTCGACGCCAAGTCACCGACCAGCAACTCCACACACACACACACCTGTTCCCGGCAGCCTCGACGCGTTATGCGGTGGTGATTTAAACCAGACCGCAGTTTGAAATGTTATAACGGGTTTAACCCCGCAAGTCGTGTCCGAGTCTGACCAGTAGCATCGCGTGCGCGTGATACGTTCGGCCAAGTCATCACGTGACATTGCGATGTTGTGGGTACCGGTTGGTGGGTACCCATGTCGCCGCCGCCGCCGCCTTCGAGTCGATAATCGCGTAGTAATTATTCCGAACAAATTCTGTTGCCGTCGCATAAACACCATGCGAATATTATTCAGGCAACTATATTCCGAGCCAAATTTGAACACAGGTTTACACTGTACGTGTAGATATTATTTGTTAAACATGTATTCATGTCCGAATCGGAATTTTCATAATGTACCTACCGAAAGAATAACACTGGGTATAATAGATCGAAATACCTTGGGTTGCAATAAAAAGGTTTAAAATAAAAAATGTTTTTTTTTTTTTTTTTTTATGGTTTAAACAGTTATCAATTGTTATTTTTTTTCGTTGGTTTTTTTTTTTTTAAATGTCGCTATCTTAATTTTTTTTGTAATACTAGTAATACCAGGGCCGGCGTTACGATTCGCGAGGCCCTGGATAAATTTATATTTTTGCTAGACTTTTTTGTTTTAGCGTATCACTTCTCTCACCTAATAAATGTAATAATACCCAACACTTGCCCATGGCCGGAAATACTGTTTGCTAAGACAACGCGCGTGTACGTGTATGTATTTTTCCCAAAAACATCGTTACATTAATTTAAAAAAATATTTTTCCAATTTTACGTCCATTATAATTATACTATTTATTATTTTTTTTTTTTGATGGGGTCACAAGCGTAAAGCCTCTGAAAGCGCGAGGTCATGCCCTCCCTACCCTAACGCCGACCCTGATGGTCGTTTAATTTTTATATTTTTGACAGTCGAATTATACTTTCATTTTTTTTATTTACCTAATAATAATACACGTTGGTACGAACATTTTAAATAGAAATTAGTTAAAAACCTATTATCATACACTCGTACGTACTAGGCCGTTACTAATATTAGGCCATTCAAATATACAAGACGGTTTAATATGGACATTAAAAATCCATTCGATAGTCGATTGATAAAATATTGTCAAACCAATAATAGCTAGAGATAATTGAGTTAAGGGGATTGTAAACGTTGATTTTCCGTCTTTGTCTTACACACGTGCAAAATAGGAATTTAGACGTATTCTATTTTCACCGTACCGATTGGTCTAGTGAAGCGACAATAATTCTGAAAACAGATTTGAATTTTTAGTTAACAGTGGCAGCTCCAGGGCGCTAATGAAAGGACTGCGATAATTTGAAAATATCCTTAGTTTAATTATAAAAGTATAACAACACACATACACGTATAATACTAAACAAAATTTTTATGCATGCATTACACCAGCCCCCCACTTCTAAAAATACTCGATTTTTCACTGTAAATACGTAATCAGTATGAGTTTGTACGATCATTTTCGGAATTTGAACGCAACTCGTTCAACGAGAAAAATCCATTTGTATATGGAGAGAGGGTTGACTGGGGTAACGTTAATCCGTTATTATTATTTTATTATTGTGCTTGCATACGATCACGGTTTTAATTTATCCTCATGCACTTAATCAAGTGCCTTAATATAAGTTATTAGTTATTATATGTGTAATTGGATTCCTGTTGGTACCTATACTCCCTTACACTATGGACGCGTTGCCGTACATGATGATACGTACAATATTTTCTAATTTTAATGAAGACCAACCAAACAATATTTATAAATTTAAAATAATATTGTAATTCGCCCTTTCCTTTTTACGCATGAGGTGTCATTGTCCTGACGTCCAAGCCACGAGCCACCACTGCCGTCAAGTCTACTTGAAATCGATTTTCCCACTTTTTTGATTTTATCCCTCCAAATTCTAAAAAAAAAAAAATACTATACAAAGAGTAATTAAAATATACAATATTTTAGTTTTTGAAAAAATTAAAATCAAAAAGTGGGGAAAATTGATTTCAAGTAAACTTGAAGAAAAATTAAAATCTGTTCTCAGAATTCATATTGCTTCACTAGATCAATTAGTAAGTTGGAAATAGAACACGAATTTCTATGTTACACTTGTGTAAGTCAAAGTTAGAAAATCACCGCTTCCAATCCCCTTAAGTGGTCCAATAATTCTATCTCGGTGTAATGCGTACTTAATACTTATCCAGGGTTACTATAATCAACGGTGTAAATATTAGGGAATTTACTCGCGTGTACACATACTATAATGATTGGTTTTTTTTTTTTTAATCCATTCCTTTTAGCTAAAAATCAAATAAAGAGATATCGTTCACGTAGGTTACCTAGGTACTTTTTTATCTATATAACATGAAAATATGTTGTTATTATTGTTAATCAATAATTATTATTCTGTAATTTTTACACCAGCCGTTTACAAATGTATAAATAAAATAAATTAATTCGACTTTACGGTAGTACGGTATCTGGATAAATTATGTAACTCGAGAATTATAAGTACATTTTTTTTACTATCATCATTCATTTTTAGTCTGTCAATATTTCTAGAAAACAATGATTGGAAATATTAAAATGGTTCACCTACTAACTAGGGTTAAATTGATATTTTGACGTTGCTTTTTGAAAAGTTTTTATTTTAAATCACTCTTATTATTCTTTACAATCTTTACAATTTATTTTCATTTATTTCAAGCCTATAATAAGTAAAACAAAATTATATTTCCATTTGTCCCAATAGTTGACATCATAATTATTTTGACGGGTCAAATGAAAATCAAATTATTTATGTAAAATAGATAGTATATTAATGGTTGAATTGTCGAAATTTTACAATTAATATAAGTATATTATGTGTAGGTCATTCTAAAGTACAGAAAACACAAGACGAATAAAATGATATTATATATATAGGTAGTATTATAGTTACTCATAATTATTTTAGAACTTGCAAAATTTCGTTTCCAATTGCCCCAATTAAAGTTATAGTTTTGTCAATCAAAATTCAAAAGTATTAATTTAGCATTGAAATGGGGATAATTACAGTGGAATTTCTATACAGGACACCTCCTTATATCTTATATGTAAGTGGAAACACCTGTCTATAACTGCAGTCTACACTTACCACTGTACAAAAACTTCATTTTTTTATATGTATATAATATCATCATTCATCACAAAGACATGGACCTCGTCGCAAGATATATTACGCTGTCTCAATACCACACGTCCACACAACACATCATAGAGGATAAATTTGTTTGTTAAATTTATTTACGTTATATACCTATTATTATACTGTACGTTTAGGTTATGACACATGAAAATGTGTCATAACTCGTATTTAGCTTGTTATTATTATGTTTATAAAAAAAATATATTGACGCAATGTGTTTTTCCATGTTGTGATCGCTCGATCCCCTCTTAAAGACCAAATGTAACGAATAATTATTATAATTATTAGACATTTTGTTTCACTTTCATTTTCTTGAAAGTATACTTATAACAGAATGAATATTCAAACGATACCTATATAATATATATAATGAACAATTTGACCGCGATCGATCTGAAATTTAGCTGGGTATAGGTTAGCCTAACCTATTGTACAATGAACATTCTATTAGTTTCAGTGGAGGTTAGGTTAGGTTAGGTTAGGTTATAACGGAATAATATAGGTAATATATTTATATTATACATTTTATTAATATATTATTCTATAATTATTAAATTAAAATTTATCGAATAATTTAATTCTAATGTCTTTTGTACATCCATATATTTGAACAGTTACCTATACCGATGTATAAGTATCCGGAGATATATCTCCCCTCCATTTGACTGCCTGATGTCCGTATAAGTAGAACATGTATAGGAGCCGATAATTCGTGGAAATTTTATTAGCTGTGGGTTGTTTAAAAATAAAAAAATCAAAAAACGACTCTCTTGGTCTTTGGATTTAAGTTTAAATACTTTACATTGTAATAATAATCAAAATTATCAAAATATAGAACAACTTTTTATTTATAGTAAATAATAATTTTTATTCTTTAATCATTTTGGATTAATTTTACAAAAATTATAAACAATAGTTTTTTTATATTTTAATACGAATATGTTTTTGTTTGATTTGGCTCAGCCAAAATATTTGAAAAATTAACACAAGGTTATACATAATCTACTCATATATAAATAAAATTTATATGCATAAATGTTAATGCGTAATTGATCAATTAAAATTCATCAATTTTGTGTTACCATCACATTTAACTACGATAAATTGATGATTAATATTAATTAGGTACTATAGGTACCTAATATTATTGTTTATTTTAATGATTTATTAAAATTAAGCGTTTACATTTTATTGAACGAAATATATTTTCAAACAGAAATACAAAAACTTGACAATATGAATTATGAACTAAGTAGAACTATTTATTGTACTTAATAATCGTTTGAATACGATAATCATAATACTTTGAAGTTTAAAGTTCAATCCATAATGAGTATGCACTATGCATACACCTATTGACCCCTTCTAATAATGGCATACGAAAAATCTATATTTTATAAAATATTATGTTATATATCTGTATATATTTTATAAGTATCTATACTGACTGAATGGATAATTTTGAATAGATTGTACATAAATAATACAATGTCAGAAAAGTACTGCGTATATACCGGAGCAAGATTTCTTTTCGGAAAATTGTTTACAGAGAGAGAAAAAAAGCTAATACTGGGGACGGGTGCGGCCACTATTGTAGATGAGTAATTGGAATGGTGGGATACATAAAGTTAACTATATCTATAACCAACGATAAACTATTGCTAACGAAAAATGAATCGGAACGAAGCTCAATTATTACAAAAACTACTAGGAATTTAAAAAACGAATTATTTACCTACTCACAAATTAGATTGAAAGTGCAATAAAAATGGTCTTTTGTCGTTTTTCTATTGGATCAATCTATGGTAAAAACATAATCCGTAAAAAATTAAAATAACGAAATCGTATAGTAATTTGATTAAAATCGTAATTTACGTATTTTTTGATTTTTCCCAAATATAATGTAAACTATTTTAGTTATCGAAAAATGACTTACTTTTGTCAGTGCAAAATATTATAAGAAAAAAAATCGATCTCTTGTTCTTTTTGGATTGGAGCAATATTTCTTGTATAAAACATTATGTTAACATAATAAAACCAATGAAAACGGTAAGGCCCATAAATATTTGATATTTTACCTAAAATTTTCTTACAGGTTTATGCTAATTATTTCAAAAACTCCTTAGAGAATCAAAAAATAACTTTTTTATTACTCCAACTAGACAAAATTTCCTTTTAGAAAAGGTAATATACTCTACTATACTTTAAATTCGGTTATACATGTTTTGGAAGGCTGTACAATTTACAATTTTCGTCAAAATATGATATTAACATTTTTATAAAAAAAAATTCTACATTATACTCAAATTTTTTTTTGACCACATAGTACGATTTAAGGGCTTACAACGACTGTTCTGTTGAGTTGTCAAGTATTGCTGTTTGCTCTAATAGTTTTATCCACAGAGTAACTACCGTATAAAAATGACGTAAAAAAACTCACAAAATTAAAATGTTAAAATGTTTTGAAAAATTTAGAAAAATTAAATACAACCGTTCTGTCCAAATTTCAAGTCTGGGAATATTTTTGACTGAATTTAAAAAAAAAAAAACAAAAATGAAAAAATGTTGTTAAATTTCTCTTTTTTCCTCGGGTTTTCCTATTTATTATGTAAAACCTAATCTCTTCAAAGAACAAACCAGATAAAATTTTCTTTCAGAAAATGTACTGCACTTAAAAATCAGAGCAAAATTTCTGGTAGAAAAGTTTTAACTTATAAATGGTAAATCTTGTATTAGTGTAATGCATATTCAAATTACTAGAAAAGAAGGTATTCTCTATTTGAACCTGTGATTGTAATGGGGCTGTTATTTAAAAACTCAAAGTGGATACTTATTTCAGATATAAGGAATAGAGATGCAAATTAAAAATAATGTTAAAATAAAACTTACACAGTTCCATAGACCATAATTAAATAAAACAAAAATCAAATTCACTTTAAAATCCAACGACAAAATTTCTATTACATAATAAAATAATCTCTCTGTACATTATGTTTATGTCAACCGACTATTCAGACTTAGTAATGTAAGTATATAAAACGTGATTATTGAATGAAAAATAATTAACCTCAGGACCCCTATTAGTGGCATTACAAGTCGTGTACAAAAACATCCTAATAATGATAATAATAACAATAATTATTATTATTATGTAGGTGTCACTCGTTTATAGTAGTAAGTACCAGTGCGGATTTATGGGAGGGGGAGGATCCAGAGGGTCTAGACCCCCCCAGACACCAATCAAATTTCAATAGAATTTACAAAAAAGAGACATCTATTGATAGATACCTTTTAAATAGATGATTTTTCAGGACCCTTCCCAGAAAAATGTTGAAATTCCGCAACTGGTAAGCACAAAAATAATATACAATTATAAGTCAGTATTTAGATTTGTCGTTGATACGACCATCGCGACTGCACTACTCGTATAAAGAATATTGTGTGCGGTGGATAACACGCTCGTTTATCATAACTACCGTTTCGTAAGTATTTACTTTGTCCATTATTATATTCTCAATATTATTACATAATATTAATTTACCTATGCATATAATGTCCTACAAAAAAAAAAAAACTAGCTTAAAATAGATACATAATACTCGTGCAATATGACTGTAGGACTATTATTGTCACGATGTGCAGTGAACAAATAAAACATCAGCGAACATATTTATTTTGTCATTAAAACACAATGCATGTATTATAAACAATGTATAATATATTGTATTATCTATAATGGTGGCAAAGAAGAGTACACTGTAAAACTCGCACCTCAATCTATAATACCTATTATATTTTATAACATATATACTATAATAGTACTATACCAAGTAATCATTTAAGTACATATATCTATAGATTAATCAATTTTTAGATAGGTAAATGTTTGAATTGTTCACACAATTCTGAGATTTATAGTATTAAGTAATTAAATATAAAAGTGTTTAAATTTTGCAATCATCTACAAAGTAAGAAAGTATAACGATTACTTTATTAATGTGCAATAGATTAAGATTGCATAAATACGTATATTTTTAGAACGGTATAGGTAATTATTATCGGTATTGGTGTAGGACAGAAGTATTAAAAATTAGAAAAAAAAAAAACAAAATACAACGTGTAAAATATAAAAAAGGCAAAGGTTAACAAAAAAAAAACCTATCAAATTATTAATAATTTTAAATTTTAAATTTTCCATCTGTTATTCTACAAATAATCACATACACATTGTTATACAAAATTATATTTGTATACTTAGGCAATCTGTCTATAGGATATCTCAATTAGGAAACAATTATTTATATTTTTAAAAACGTTCATTGTTAATATTTTAAATTCACATTCTACCTATAATTAAAAGAAATATAATTTAGAATAATTAATTAATTTAGAAATATAATTATGTATTATATCGAACAAATATTAATACTATTCAGTATAAAATTTGGTCCGTTTGTCCTTTTTACAAAAAAATGTGATGCTCTTACAAAAAGACATTGCTGCCAGATGCGGGTGTTTTGTATAATATCATCGCTACACTTCATACAGAATAGGAACTACTTATGTGTCATAGGTAGATCATTTTTGTAGGTGAGAAATTGAGAAGATTGAATATAATATAAGTCATAGGGTAATTTAATTTATATTTGATAAGTCATATTAATAAGTCAAAGTCGATATTTTCAAATACTTAAATTTTCACAACATTTAAGAAGTATCCTATTGTAATACCAATAACTTTGGTTTTTTTAAGGGAAACCTATAATAAAAATTCTATAAATAGATGGAGTATTACTTTAAATAAATGTCGGTTTTAAAATTTTTGATTTCCGTCAACATGTTGACGAGATATTTCACTTTTAAATTTAGGTAGAGGGGGAGCTAGTATATAGCGGAGTATCATTTGTATTGCTGGCACGGCGCGCGGCATTTTGTAACCAAAGTTGATATCACCACAGGATAATCCTTAAATTTTATGAAAAATCTAAGTATTTGAAAATATTGACTTTGACGACATTTAAAAATTCCAGAAATCAGAATTTGAATATATGCAAAATTTAACCAAACAAATGAGGCGAGCACGTTTAGTGAATCACCCTGTAGATATATTATAGTAATATTATAATACACCTAAATAGTTTTATTATAATATATAGTAGGTAGTTATATAAGTTTTTAAAAACACTCACAAGGATGTCATACTCGCATCTACTGTATTAGTCTAACTCATGAACAACATAGAAAAGTCACGTTATTTAAACCGTAAATTGTGTTATTTAGGTAGAAATTAGAATATGAACAAATATGATACAAATATCAAATTTAAATCCATAAAAAAAATGTATAGGTTTAAACTTTTTATAAGACCAACTTTTAGACAAAATCTATATATATAGGTCTCGACATTTTTCTCAGTTTTAAATTTTGATATTTATGTTCATACTATTATTTTAACTTAAACGACTATAATATTTACGTTCCAAGTATAGGTAACGTAATTTTTGCTATATTGCCGTAAATAAGATTGCGTGTGTGGCGTTTTTTTAATATTGAAAAACTCTTAACCTAAAATAAAATTTTAGAATTTCAAAACTAATGTTTCTTAAATAATTAGGTAATTAAATATAATACCACAGTACGGTGTACTATAATTTGTGACTAACACTGAAATAATGTAGTATGTTATAATATTTTTTTTGTGTTTAATTATAATATGTATGTTGCGTAGATATATTAGACAGTGTTGTAAATAATTTAATTTTACAGTGTCTCTACTCCTTTTTCATTTTTTTTTTTTTTTTTTTTAATTACCTATATAATATACATTATAAAGATTATATTACATATTTAAAATACAGTCTTATATAATAATATTATTAATAATCTAATATTGAAAATAAACATATTCCTACCTACCTATATAGTAATTATTAAGTACCTATATTACCTAGGTTTTTTTTTTATTAGCTATTTATCTGTTCAAAATTTATTTTAAATGTATTATTACAACGGGAATTTACTGACAACTTTTAATAAATAGGTATGAAGATATCTAATTATTTCAACTTTCGTTAATTTTAATTGCTATGATTTGTATGTAATAATAATATAATTAAATAAAATAACAATATTAAACATATATAATGATATTATTATTGCTTAGGTAAACCTTAGTTATATAATAATAAATTTTTAAACTTTATAATCAAATGTAAGTAAATATGCAATATTAAGAAATTAGAATACAGTAGGTATATAATATAACATATTACAATACACCTTATACCGTTGATTAAGTATTTTAAATAGGTTCCTAAATATATTTTAATTATTCACGTGATATTACACGTGAACAGATTACCATTTATTAATAGTGAATTTAAAAAATTAGAAAATAAAAAATAACAATAAAATGTGCTACAAATGCATAATGTATGTATGTAGGTAGACCTACCTAGTACCTACCTACTGATAAAGTATGGTCATAAAATATACTTCATACGACGAATTTAGAATTATATAATCAATTTAAAATGGATTAATATACATTTATACAACTCATTGAAATTTACTTCTTTGACGAACAAATACATTACATTTAGTGGAACTATTATACCGAGATAATTTGTACATCGTTCGTTTATTTTTCACAAGTATAACATAAATATATTTCATTCCATAAAGTATCTACTACCTATAGACACCTATATACTAAAGATATATAGTAGGTAGGTAATGCACAGTAATGTGTCCAGAAACATTAAATGAGAGTGTATGCTATGTCTATGAATAATATTAACGATTCGTGAATAAATCGTAAAATCTTTTTCTGTTATACCTAACCCAATAAAAAAAGCTAATTTTAATTCAATAAATCAAACTTTTCCCCTTGTATTTTGGCTGAAAGACATATATAATTTCAAGATCAAATTAATAAATAAATACTCATAGTTGATGTATTTGTAAGCCCTTGAAAGTTATATAACCCCTAATTCACCTCCCTCCCCTGAATGTATTAAAATATGTATATCACCGTTAGGTTTACCTAAGAAAAAAAAAATACAAAAAAAACAATAAGTTTTTTTCGATATCTTACACCGATGATTTTATATACTTTTTTTTGAAAAATAATTTAAAATACCAACAATTAACCAAATGCACTTATTCATCTTTTACGTTGCTGAGAAACACTGAACGAAAATAAAACAGAAAATATTGTACCCATGTCCAAAATAGGTAAGTTGGCTACACATTTGAATCATTCTAATGAGTTTCCAAAATTTAGTTTAATGTTGCATTTGAGGTTTTATCAAAATATTTCTTCCAATAAGTAAAAATATTATATAATAATTGTTTGCTTTGCATAATATATAAAAATATGTCAAGGTATTTTCAAAGTAACAATATCAATAAACTATAATTTAAAACGTGAACAGTTTATTGCCTTCATTTTTGTATTAATTAATATTTATTCCAAACATGTTTTATACATGCCTGCTTTTATATATTTTAAAATAATAAATAATAATTTAATTAATAATATATTTCTTTCTTTCTTTCTTTTTTTTTTAAATGTGGTAAATCGCTTAATCCGCCACTGATATCATTATACAACTATAAAAATGAAAATATTTCTGTGATCTGATTTTTTTTTTTAATGCATGTATTATTATAAGTCTTAGATAACAGTAAAAAAAATGATGTCACTACTAAAATTAAATAATCATAACTAAAAAGGACCTTATTTTTGCCCCCTCTCCTTAGTGTATACTCAGAATTTCCAACTGTATCAAATTAGCGGGACATTCACGATTTCTCGTGTCCTAATCAAAGTTAATGCGGTACATGTTTTTCCTAGACAAAAAGAAATTACCAATCTATTTTTTTCTGCGTTTGTACACACAATTTATGTAATTAGATAAAGTGAAATACAAATATAAATAAATAATATGTATGTATCATTATTACACCACTGAAAACCTAAACACTAAAAGAAAGGTCGTTGACCTGATTTTATTCAGTTTAGAACAACATAGTATTAGTACTTAAAAATTATTTAAAAAAAATATTGCCCTTTAAGGTTTAGTGTAATCACGTCGTCTAAATCAAGTTTATTAAACTATTTATTACGTCGCAATGAAATTCACGGAATTTCATACGATATTATTCGTTTCAATTTATTTTAATGAATATTATTTTTTATTTATTTACATAACTGATGGTCACTGTTCAGTGTTCGATTCACTGTCAAGGTCAGTGGCTTATGTAGTTTTATCACACCTATTACAGCATGAGCGTTTTATTCAGATTTCAATAGAAACCTCGCGAAATTTCTGCGGAGATTACCTAATATTAGAGATAATAATTTTAATATTTAAATATACTATTTAATAAAATATAAATATTATACTCATGAATCTATAATACTATTATAGGTACTATATGAGTAGATACTTCTATTCGTCTATATTTTATAATGTATAGAAGTTTAAATAAAAATTATTTAGCGGTGACAATTTTTTTATTGTCTGAACTCAATTTTTAACATAGGTAATTCTATGTAATATCTTGGTATTCTTAGTGTTATAATAGTTGAATAGTAGGTTTAACAATAATGGAGAAAAAAGCTATTTTTTTTTCTACTGCTTATTGATATAGCATTAATGATGGGGGCTGGTGTACTAAGATAATTATACTCCCGGATAATGTTAGGAGGGAGAGTGGAAGGTCATACTAAGAGAATGTAATATCTCGGTAATATTATCCTAGGAAAATGATTTCCCTAATAAGAATTTCCTATGGATGTCCCTATTGGATTAACCTAACAATAGTATTGATAGACTTACAAACATAATTAACAAAGAATGATGATATAAAGAGCTGAAACTTGCACAGTAGGGGCAATTAATAAATTAATTAGATTATAACACATTTATAACCTATTTCGCATCATGGATATGCTACTTTTTTTAAAAGTGGTAATTAGGCATTTAGGAAATATATAAATTAAGGTATTACCCGATGAAATAGAGCTGAAAATCATAAAATGCGTGGAAATCAAATCTCAATACATTTATAACCTGTTTCGGAACATGAGTATAGGCCACTGTTGTAGGTAGGAATTGCAAAATATATAACCCACTTAGCACGGTAATGGTTTTTAAATTTTCTTCAAAATTGGATATATAATAATCAAATATTTACTCTAAAGTTAAACTAACCTTGTAGGTTTAAATTAATTGAACGAATAATTAAATCTTAAATAATAATTTAAACTAATATAATTATTTTATATTTAATTTTATCAAATTTTCAAGCATTTCTGTTAAGTCGGATAATTTATCTACAGAGTTCCTACCAAATCAAAATTACGTAAAAAAAAATCGCAAATTAAAATGCTTATTAACATTTCAAAACTTGCTCAAATGTTATGAAAGTTTTACCAAGTCAAGAAAAAGTAAATATACATTTTCTGTCAACATTATATGTCTACGGATACTTTAAACTGAATTACAATAAAAAAAAAAAAAAAATGGAAATAATAAAATAAAATAACTATTTTCGTAAATTTCCCCGTTCTTTCTACGTATTTAATTGTTAAAAAATTATAAAAAAAATCAAAAAATAACTTTCTTTATCATCAACTAGATTAAAAATTCAACAAAAAAGGTCTCTTGTCGTTTATTTATTAGAGTAATCTTTCTGATAAAAAACATAAGTAGAAAAAACAATGATAAAAACATGATAAAAACAATGACAACGATAACGCCGCGTTGCTCCGTAAATATTTTCTGTTTTATCTATAGTTTTCTTTCGGGTTATTCCCAATTTTTTCGAAAACCCGTAGGAAAATCAATAAATGACGTCTCCAATGCACTAATGAGAGAAAATTACATTTCGGAAAAGGTACTACAGTCTATACTTCGGAACTAGTTTTCTGGTAGAAAAGTTGTTCACAGACAGAAAAAAATAAATAAATAAAACACACATCATAGTAAAACCAATAGATCTCTACGACCCGCTACGCTCCAAACCTAAAATAGAATAAAATTAAAACGATTGATTTAATATTTTTTAAGTAGAATTATAATACAATACATTCCATTTAAAATTTAGTTTCCGGAATATTAATATCAACTGAAAATAATGTAGCGAAAATAATAAAGAATTGACTATTCTTACAAAAATCTTGAAAACGGTTTTCAAATTCATATTTGAAGAACAAAATATCTCCAATAATATAATAATAAAATATTATCTCGAAATCGGCTTATGCACCCGTACTATCACTATCGAATTACGAAAAAGATAACACTTTTATATACTATTAAATTAATTTAAAATCTAATTTCTGATATTTTATAGTTTATATTCTTAAAACAAATTTTTTCTTATAATGTTATATACACTATTAATTAACGGATTTAAAATTGAAATAAAGATAGCATTAAAATCTACCATGGGCCACGGGTTCGACACCCCTGGTATAAAAGAAAAAGCCTTGGTTGTACTCGTATAAGTATAGACATAAATAGTTAATCATAACCAGCAATAGTAAAAGCAATAGCAGTAAAATATAACATGTAAATACGTGCTTACTATTTTGTAGTTTTGTTAAATATAATTATTTTTTTAATCGAATAATTATGTAAAGAAAAAATACTACGTAAAGTCCAGTATGGACGATTTTCAATTTTAACCTTCCTATTTCATCATAGAGCACCTTAATTTATAAATTTTCTCAATGCCTATTTACAACGGTAGTCTATCCACGGTGAGAAATAGGTTATAAATGTGCTCTAATCCAATTATGTACACCTGTCAGACACGATGTAACTATTTACATCATCATATTATGTTAATTATGTTTGTAAGTCTATCAATTTTGAATGTATAATTGTTAGAGGGGAGGGGTAAGATTGTCAAGTATTATCTTACACCCCAAACAATCTAACAGGGAGGGTAAGATTTTCCTAGGAAACTCTTACTGGAGGTTATATTTTCTAGGACCAAATTATCGGAAGGTAAAATTATCCTATTATATCGGTAATAAAGAAAATTAGTGAATTGAAAGATTAATACGATTACGTATAATAAATTTGTCATTTTTTAGAGCCCAAAGTGGAAAAAATGTAATTATACTTTCGTTAAGTCTGTCCGTCCATCCCTATGTCATCTCATGCATAATATAACTCTAATATTTTTTCCATTGATTTTAATGAAGTTGCTCAAGAAATTCCAAGGTGTCTTATCAGGTTTCTGATCAGCCATATAATCGTAAAGTTAAAAAAAAATCTAATACTGGAGACTGGTTCAGCCACTGATGTAGATAGGAAGTTAGGAAGATAGGATAAATAAAGTTATTTAATTTATATCTGTACACAACGATAAACCATTGCTAATGAAAAACTATTCGGAGCAAAGTTCGGTAAGACATATTTTTAAATTCCACCATTTTTACGATTTTCGTCAAAATTTGATCTTAAAACACTTATGGAAAAAAAAAACTAGTGCATTAAACTCAAATTTGTTTTTTATATCACTAAGTACGACTAATAATGCACCCTGTGTTTTCAAGTATTTCTCTGAAGTCATATAATTTTTAATAGCAGATACCTACCAAATAAAAATATATAAAAAAACACGAAAATATCAAATACCTTTAACATAGCTAGAATGCTTTGAAAATATTATAATATAATATAATATATTATAATAATATTATATTATTATATAATTTAAAAATATTATTGAGCTCAATTTTTAAAAAAATAATTGGGAGTCAACAAATTTCCAAACTTGGAGAACTTCAAAAATGTTCTAGAATCCTAATACATTTGTAATTAATTTTTACAATTAGGTAATAATTAATTTTAAAAATATGCTAAGTCCTTTCTGAACATTTTAATTTATTTGGTTAAGTTAGATTGTTGCTTCATTATTCTATATTAATATAGACATTTTAATTAATGGTAAACATCGGTATAAGCCAATATCGTATTAATACGTTTTGATTTATTATGATTGCAATAAAGTATACTTTATTTTGCTTGTTTCCATTAAATGTGCTTTTTTGGTCCTTAGTAATGAATATAGGACCACTAAGTATAAAACACCAAACACAAAAATATTTTAAATATCATAAATTATAAATCATAATATTATAACATTAAAATAAAAAAATACTTACATAAATAATAAATAAAACATTCCACACTTTATTTATCTACTGATCACGTATACATATAATGTTTTTAAATACACAATTGTTAAAAAAAAAAATTAAATCAAAGTATGATGACAAATAAATTATAGTTTTATAAAAACGTTAGTTTTTAACATTTATAATTATTATTACTATTTCTTTGATGTTATTTTTAATTTAGAATAATATTATTTTATTTATATAGGTTGAAAGTGATTGACCTTTCTTTTGAGATCTATATTTATAAAAGAATTCTTTTATTTATTTTTTATTTCAATTCGATATCAGTTTTACCTATCAGAATTGCAGTTTTAAACCATCTGAAGGTTACCTTGATTTTAATCTTTCGAAGAACCTTATAATTTAAAATACAGAACCTCTTTTAAATTAGCAATATCGAATTTTATTACCTGCCTCATAGGCACCTATTGATTATAATACCTATAAATAATTTATGCACAGATGACAGATATTAAAAATAAATACTAATTTAATCTATTATAACATTTTACTCGATAGTAGATAAATGATAAACAATTAATAAAATATTAATCATGTAGGTAATAGATAAGTCATAATAGGTAATTATTAGTTTTGCAAAATATGAGATAATTAAGCGAGAATAAAAATAGCTGACTTTCCATAAGTGGAATAATGCCGAAAAAGAAGGAATAGAGCTTTGTATAGTTTAATCGTGCCTACACTCAAAACTCAAAAGTGTCATACACAATATCTACTTTTAGTTGTTAAATTAATTTATGAAATATCATAGTTAGAACATTAATCCAATTATAAATTATTAATTTATCACCAATCAAGAGTGTCATAGGTGGAAAACGGACGAGGGTGCTTGAATGGACTAAGCCCCCCAGAAGTTTAAAGAGCAGGTCAGAGCCCCCTTGATCCTCAAAATTATAAAGGGCGTAAATATACAATAGTTGTTATAATTGTAAAATGCATTTTAAATAACTGCTAAATTAAAATGTATTATAAAAAAATATTATATTTATTATGTTTTATATAATTAGCATTTTTTGTTTGAACAGATATTAAATTGGTTATAATTCAATTAATTTATTACCTAATAATTACTGTTTAGAATACTTTAAAAATGTTTAAGATAAGACACCAAATTGTTTTTGTACTTAACTATGGTTAAATTTTTCAGCCCCCCCCCCCAGTAATTTCACCAAATTTTCGCCTATACAAGAGTCAAAAACATTATTATACGATTATTTACCTATTTGAAGACGTACAATAAATTGGTATATTTTAAAATATTAAATAAATATACATTTCGCTTGTAGTAAAATGTTTAGTGCAATGTTAATTATCTTAAAATTAAATATTTTCATATTTGATTATTATTATAGTATACTAATAGGTATACAAATCAATTTTAATTAAATTTCGTTTACCTATATATATATATATATATATATACAACTAGTGAAAATTAAATAGAAAAACTAATTAGGTAAATTTATTTTAAGTAAACTTACCATTCATATCATATCTATATAAACTGTGACCACTCAATTCGAAATCATCATTTGGTTTAAAATCTGGATCATCTTCATCAAACATTATTGATTCTTCGTAGTCATTTAACACAGACTTGTTAGATTCTTCATTGTTCGTATTCTTCATATTTTTTTTTTTTTTATTCAATTATTTTTTAATTCTTGAAAAAATAAAACAAAATGTAAAATTATAATACTACTTTATAAACGGCCATTTATAATTATTATAAACATAGATATAAATAGTGTACCTAAAACATAAACATAGACACTGTACAGCCTATAGTGCAGAATGGGAAACACTTTTTATATTTTAGTACACGAAATATGAAAAATAATAAATATGTAAAACAAATGAGGACATTCCACTATACGAGCGTACTAAATTCTCGTTTTCAATATGCATATAAACTGTATTTAATTTGTAAATAATTAATCTTTTAATCAATAAATTACAGACATTATACAGTGCAACAAAAAAAATTACAATATCAATAATTTTCTATTAACCATAACCACGGATTGATAAGACAGAAAGATGGATAAAAAGATAGCTACTTCACATCAGCAGGCAAATTTATTTAAAGATAAAACAATGACACATAATTATTGTATTTTAAAAATGCTATGATAAGCAGAGTTTAAAATATTAAAAATTGTTTGAAATGTTTGCAATTTGTATTCAGTTTGTCACACTTGCATAGCCACTGAACTAAAGATTTCGGAGAATAATAATTTTTTCAGTCCCAGAAAGTGTTATTCGAGAAAGTGCCAATTATAGTCAAACTCAGATTCTAAAATTTTTTTAACCAACACACTTTAGTTTGTATAAGTAATTTGTATCCTAAATGAAAAATAAACAACGTCAATAAATTATTTAATTTTATTAATAAATGACAAAAAGTTGGAAAAGTAGGTAACTTAGGCAACTTAAATAAATTTATTTAATTTATATCTGCTTGTAAAGATAAACCATTGCTAACCTAACTCTTTCCGTGAATTTACCGGTTTCCTACGTTTTTGGCCAATTATTAAGAAAAGCGCTTAGAAAATCCAAAATGTAAAAATTAGTATTTTTAATTGGAGCAGAATTTCTGGTAGATAAGTTTTTTAGACAAAAAAAAATAAGAACATCATATAGTAAAACCAATATACATTTCTCTCTACGCTCAGAATATAAAAAGTGTAATTAAAAAAATATATTATTTATGAAAATTTAAAATGTATTAGTATATGAGATGTATAAGTTTGTTAGAAGGGAATTCAATCACAATACGCAAATAATCGACAACGTTTTCAAAGTTTTGTGAATTTAGAAAAAAAATAAATATGTACTTACTAATTTGCGTTGAACTATATTCTGATCGTGGCGATATCAGACGAAAACTCAATCTCACAAAAGAAAAGCTTGATTTTAACCTTTTAGTGTAAAGTATAAACTATTCAAAATTTGAATTTAATCTTTGTTAACTCCCTTATTGGTCACATATTCAGTCAAAGGATACACAGAGATAGGTAAACTATAGTCTATCTATAGGTAAGTTTATTTAATTTAAGAATATATTATAATATGATTTTCTATGTTTGTTATTATTATTTTAATTTACAATTGATATTTTAGTTATAAAATAGGTAATTATTCCTAATAACTTATTTATATAGCTACCTACTAATTGGTTTCACTTTAGTACAGCTTAAACACGATAAATAATTTACGATATACATCCTATAGGTATGACGGTGTGAAAGACAATAAACATACGTTTTTAAAGGTACTTATAATAATTTATACCTATAATATGGCGTCGTACTTCTAACACGTGATTTTTTTTTCAGTGTACCTACTTATCATACAATTGTATCAACTACGTAGGTACCTACCGTATTAATAAAAAAAAAAGCGATCTTTAGTAAATACGTAATAGTATCTTATACAATTGTCGATATGATAATTTTTAAATTACATCCAAACCACAAAAAATATAAGAATTTTTCAATTATGTTCTAAACTTAATAAATTGTTTATTTTTTTTTTTTTGTTAGATACAATTATAAATTATAATAATATTACTTAATGCATATTATACAATGTATTTTCATATATATAGATATAAAATTTACAAAAAGTCTTTAAAAAACTATTATTTAGCAATATTATAATAATTAGGGTTGGGAATGTAATTTTCTAAAACACCATAAAATAAAAGCAGTAAAAATAAAAATATAAATGTTTTTATGCTATACAAATTCTAAAGATTCCTCTAAAAATTGTTTTATTTTTAAGAATTTTGGTATAAAAATGATGTTTGAATATGAATTTTAAAAAAAAAATTACTGGACATCTTTGATTTGAACTTCTTAAACTTCTTTTAATTCGAAAAAAAACTCGTACTGAATGATATCGTTGGACGTTGATATCGATTTTATTATTCTAATAGATTATTAAACAGGAAATCTAATGATTTTATATATACATCAAGTTAGTTTTACCTTAGACATCGCCTTGACCACGTCTTGTTGTTTAGGTTTTGACATTACTATTGTCCGATAATATATAACACGAGAATTTATTATGGCAGCACCAGGATTTTTTATATAGACGTGCCAAGCTGAGGCCACTGATTTATAGAGATGGCTAGTGGCGTAACGAGAGTTGTCTTACCTTTTGATAATCAATTCAAATTTAATAGAAGAAAAAAGTTTTTATCGAAGGTACCCACCCATACAACTATACGAGTACAATAACCAGAATAACCAGCAGAGGTGCCAGGTTTTGAAAATGTCATGTAGGGCTCACTGTTTTATAAAAAAAATGTAAAGTTTTACTTAAATCTTACCCCATACATGTCCTATTTTTATTTTACTTAAATTGATCGTTAAACAATTACTAAAATATAGTTATATTACCTATTATTATTGTGTATGTTAAAACTTATAAATAGAATTAGCATCATGAAAAATCACATGACAAAAATTTAAAAATGCTGACACAAGACTCCAGTTAATCAAGAACCTAGTTGATTCAAGCATAAGTATCTGCTTGATAGTTTGTTGTATAAAAATCATTTAAGTGTATATGGCAAAATGTTATAATTCAATTTCAAATTTGAATTTCGGATTCAAAACTCTAAAAATGTCCCAAAAACTTTATAATAAGTACTTCAAAAAATAAAGAAAATAACTTTAAAATTAAAAATTATCAAAAAAATGTAAAACAACATGAGCATCGCACAGCAAGCAACAAAAAACAATAAAAAGTAAATGAAAATCCCAGCCTTAATTATAATATATGTATACAGTCGAAGAAAACATTCTCATGTCACCTGGCTCTGTATTGTTTGTTATTTTAGCAACAATATATTCACATATTACCATTTTTATTTTCATAATAGACTATAGGTACCTATTTATAATCAATGATATTGTCTTCTATAATAACATGTATCTGCATTATAATTATATATGTGTATGTATATATGTGCGTGCGTGTGTGCGTGTGTGTATACAACCAATATGTTGTGTACCTCTGTATGGAAAAATAGGTTGATAACCTATAAACCTTTGCTCTTTGCAGGCTAGCAGTAAGCTTTTAAGTAGATCTATGTTATTTAGTTGATAATATTATTAGGTACTATAAATTTAGGACCTATAAAGAAAGCAAAAATACTCAAAACAAATAGGTACATAAGGATGCTATAAAATTTGCTTTACTATTATTTATCAAATTTTGCTAAACAATAGTAAATTGAAACATGTTTCAATAGGTATTACTCTTAAATATTAAAAATAATTTGTAATATTACCTACTTATAAAATTTAACATTGATAGCTTACCTATTTAAAATGTTACACACTAGCCCATTGGCTAGCCGCTACTTATATCTATAAATATTGATGGGTTATGTTAATTTAATTAATCAAATATGAATAATGTATACATAGGTATGTATTGACAATTTCCAATGTTATATTACTATTAGATAGGTACCATTATGTTATATTACTATGTCCACGCGGATTCAAAACCGAGAAGTGTTATTAAACTGGAAAATTCTAATTTATAATAATTTATATATTTTAAATAACACATATTAGGTGTCTAATTAGTTAAATAATTATCTGAAATAATTATTTTTATGGTTGAGTAAGCTTTTTAAAAAATAATATATTTATTATAATAAATTAATGAATTATTATTTAATACTCATAAATTAAATAAGGTCACTTTTAGACTTTCGTAATAATAGAGAAAAAATTTAAATGTTCTTACCAGGAGATCAGAATCAGACAACCATCTAATTTATGGCCGATCACTGGAGCGTGTGAAACCACTGTGTAGTGCATAGCTATTGAGCGAAAGACAGCCAACTAAATCTATATTCTAAACCCCTAGTACCATTTTTTCGATTTTCGGATTACAATGAAGATTTTTCAATTGATCAAAAAATTAAATTGATATGGGCAACGACCCAATGCAGATCACTAAAGGACTGAGGAACGACAATATAATACCTAATAAACAATTTTCAATAATATTAAACTCGTGTGATAGTTAATAATAATTATTATAATAATGGTCAAATTATAAGAACATTATCCGGGCAAAGCCATTGACATTAAAACTTGGTGACATGGTACAAAGGGACACCATTTATGATTTATTATTATTATTATTATATTTTATTAACGCTAAAAGCAATAGTTACAGAACAACAGATAGAAAACCACTATAAGGCATAAATGGGAGTTGACACCTTGGGCCTTAAGGTATAAGCTTGTATATAGGCTACAGGTATATTACCGACGAATAACGAAAACTAAATAAACACTTTATAATTACTTGTATTCGAGAAGATCCAAGGGAGGAGACCGTGGTTGCTGCCCCCTCCGAGTTGGGCTATACGTATTGACAATTTCTAATGTTATATTATTATTAGGTAGGTACCATTCAGGCACGGATCCAGAGCAAAGATCTGGGGGTGGGCCAACAATTTTTTTACAACACAAATACAATTCCAATGCCTATGGTTCTAATTACTATAATAAGTATCATAATAGTTTAATCAACCACGATCTATTTGTGATTGTTCGAGACTAACTTTGGTAGCGAAGTAGCGCACTTGTGGTATCAACAATTAACTCGCAATTAGGAAATTACAATATTCGTATCAAAGTCCACAGATATGTATAATATATTATATTATCATACATATCTAATATCTGTGATTAAAATATAGTAATATCAAAATGTATAGAATTATAAAAAATTGGAGAAATAATATGTCTAGGGGGGGCTTGGCCCTAGAACCCCCTGGATCCTTCCCTGGTACCGTTATATTATGTTTCTAGCAAGAAGTTTTATTTAACTGGAAACAAACAAAGTGAATAAATATATAAATAAAAATAAAATAAATAAATGAATCAAATCACCTGGAGTATTATACGACCGGTTTCTAATTAAAAATTCATCATCAGATATATCACAGTCAAAATGAAATATGCAACTGAATATAAAAAAAAAGAGCTGATACTGGGGATGGGAGCGGCCACTGTTGTAGGTGAAATGTTCGGAAGATAGGAATATAAGGTTATTTCATTTATATCTGTAAATAACGATAATCTATTGCTTGACAAAAGAAGATTCCAAGCGCAGTTCGGTAATACATAATTTGAAATGCCATATTTTTTTTTTGCGATTTTCGTTTAAATTTTATTTCAAAACGCTTATTAAAAAAAAAGGGAAAAAACTCGTCCGAGGATTTTGGAAATTTTACCACGTTTAGGTGCGAAAAAAATTTCTTAATAACTTAAAAGTGACTCAAATTTTTGGCGATGTAACCGTACGAAAGTAAATCAAAAAGGCAACAAAAAACGTATCTTGTGATTTTTCAATTAAATCATTTTTTCTGGTAGAAAATGTCCGTGTTTTAATAAAATAATTAAATCGTGAAATTGTACGTTTTCCTACGTTTTTTCCTATTTATGATTTCATTTAAAAAATGGCTTTGAAAATCAAAAAATGTACTTCTTTATAGTACAATCTAAACAAATTGAGCTTTTAGAAAAGTGTCTATACGTAAAAGTTGGAGCAAGTTTACTAGGAAAAAACGTGTCCACAGACTAGAAGATAGAAAAAATAAACATCTTAGTAAAACAAATAGCTCCCTAGCTACGCTAGGAATCTAAAATTAAATGAAGGAATACATAGAAAAAATTAATACTATACAAATTGGTCGTTTTTTTTAGAATACACAAATAATTTATTTTAATAGAAGAGATTATTTAAAATTAGTTATTATTAGGCATAGACATATAAATTAAGAAATATAAAAAATATAAATTATTTGATTATTATGTATTATCTAAAATGTTTTAGTATAAGATAACCGAATAATTTATATTTCTTAATATGTTTATACCTAATAATAACTAATTTTAAATTATCTCTCATATTAAAATAATTTATTTCTATATAAAACGACCAATTTGTATAATATTTTTTTTTCCTTGTATTCCTTCATTCAATTTTTTTATATTCATTCGAGTTTTACTTTTTGACTGTATTATACCTGATGATAAATTTTAATTCGAAACTGGTCGTATAATATACTAATCATAATACTCTAGCGACGCATTAATTCATTTATTTATTTTATTTTTATGTATAGATTTTTATTTATATATTTTTTTACTTTATTTATTTACGAGTATTAACAATTTTAATAATTCTGTTTTTACTTTATTATTTGGAAATAAACATTATTATTTTTTTTAACTTTATGGCTGAGCAAAGTTTTTAAAAAACGACATTGTAAGCCTGTAGACTACAGATATATTACCAACAAATAACGAAAACGAATGCATACTTAATGTATAAAGGAGGGTCTAAGGAATAGACGATGGTTGCCCCCTCCTCCAAGTTGTGTCATTATCGCGTGACTAATATATATGGGCCTCCCTCCAATTGGCCCACCCTGGAAACAAATCCTGGCGCCACTATTGGATATTTATAGTGTCATAGATATTATTAATTAATTAATTATTTATCAGTACCTATATTTAATTTAATTACAGAAACGTTTTGTAAGCCGTTCGTGAGTTCATATCGCTCATATGACACGCTTGGCCTTGCAAATCATGGGCATATTAGAAAATCCGAAGAAAGACATTAAAGTTAACGGGTCCTTAATTTATCGCCGATAACCAGTGACATGAGCGAGGGGAAGTTAGTTGTTATTTTTTATATCCCCCCTCCTATTGGTTTTTAAATGAAAAAATTGTGAGTAATCTAATATGAAATGCATATATTTCAGCCAAATTACGAGGAAAAGCTTAATGCATCGATTAGAAATATTGTTTTTTTTTAGATTCTAAGTGGAGCGAGAAATGAATATTGCTTTAACAATGATGAGTATTTTTAATTTTTTTTTTCTACCAGAAATCTTGCTCCTATTTATAAGTGTAGTACTTTTTCTGAAAGGAAACCTGACTGGAGTGGCAGGTCATTTTTAATTTTCCCAAGAGTTATTATGATAAATGGAAAAAAACCTCGGGAAAACGGAAAAATTGGTACAATATTAAACAAATATTATTAAAGAAAATATAAAATGCATATGTATTTTACCATAAAATGACATATACATAATATGACATGTATACTGTTGACAAAGCAATTCTAATAACCGAACTTCGCTCAGAATCGTTTTTTCGTTAGCAATGGTTAATCATTGCGTACAGATATACATACAATTTCCCCTTTACTACTCTCCCAACTTCTCACCCACGTGTAAAGTATGTCAGTCTTTTTTTCTGTGAATAACTTTTCTACCTTAGTACCTCAGGGTGATCATTTTTTAATTTTCCCAGGGGTTTTCATAATAAATGGAAAAAACTAGGAAAAAAGGGAAAATTTACGAAATGTATTAAGTATTTTTAAATCGTAAATATTATGACATTTCAAAACATAGTATAACGGAACTCCGCTCTGAATCGTTTTTCGTTAGCAATGTTTAATCGTTATGTACAGATATACAATAAATTTCTACTGTACCTTTTCAATTTCTTGCTTACAACAGTGACCCACGCACATCCATCATGCGAAGTATGTTTGTTTGTTTTTTAATATTCGGCTTTCTAATCACCAATTTCCATAGTCGAGTTAGATAAGGAAAATAATTTTACAATTTATTCACGATTCTTAATAATTGTTATCTACATCTCCTTAAATACTTCGATAATAATTATTAATTAATAGGTAAGTTACATAATACACAGGTATCTATTGTACTGGTTGAGATAATATTTCTGCACATTACAGAGCCGTTACTGTAAATAGACTATGTAATGTAAGTGATAATATTGTTTACTTACAAATGTGGTGAAGCCCGGCGTTCCTGTGGTAGCTGTGGTAGGTACAATAAAATCAACACATCACATACAGTTATGCCTGATAGTGATAATTGATAACAAAAAATACTTTTAAAGAATTCACCGTATTTCGCCTTATGATTTGAAAGATTCATCACGTGTTATGTTTAAAACGTTAATTAGAAACCCTTTAGAAATCAAAAATTTTGTTTTCTTTATGTCTAATGTCTATACATATAATGTGAACCATAATGTGGCATTATTTTTAATTACCTATTTGTACGGATTGGTTCACTGTGATTATCAACAATATTATGTCTATTATAGTATAAACAGTTGTGTTCATTCATTTGTTTCTCGAGTCCATTATTTTTAAATATTTAAAAGTGTAGTAATATAAACTACCTAATTTAAAAATCAAACAACATGGAAGATCTACTCATTCAGATATCGAAAGATGCAGCAAATGCAAAATTAAATAATTTGAGTCAGTCAGCAACTGAAGCATATGGTAGCGTTTTACACTGATTTTAATTGAAACTGCTTGATAATTTATAATTGCATATCTACCTATTCAACTTAGATACTAATATAAATTATTACCTAAACTGAGGAATTAATACTCTTTCTAGAAAATATATAATTCAATTTAGTTTTTATTTATGTTTATAGTGTTTTTAGACAAACAACAAGGAACCTTGCGTGATCCAGCCCATGAATTAAGAGCTAAATGTTTAAATGTTTTTAAACAAGCATTTGAATCTAGAAAAAGTAAATTAGTAGCACATGCCCTGTGTGGATTAAACGTAAGAAATTTACTTAACCGAAACACTTAATTAATAAAGATTAAAAAAATATTGATTATTATCAATATAATATTAATTATGTCTAGAAAATTCTAAGAGATGATCGATTTCAATCAAATTTTGAACCTGAAGATGATTCATTATGGTTGCCATCACAAATTTTGTATACAATCAACTCAATATTAACACAATCTGATGACACACAAATAGATATGTTAAAGGTGATTTTACACTTGTTATGTAAACACAAAAATTAAATAAAAATTGATTTTCAGGTGTTTTTAAATGTTGCTTGTTCTTCATATTGGACAATGAATGGACGTATAATAATACAGATACTCACATTATCTTGTGAAGTATATGAAAATGGGAACCAAGGAATTCGATCTGCTGCTCAAGCAGCTGTCAGTCAGACACTACGATATTTTTGCAATTTTCTTGGTAATAGATATGAACAACATAATAATTAAACTAATGATCCCTGCATCAATTGAAATAGTTTTTAGTGGACAAATTTTTTATTTAAAGTTATCTCGTTTTTTATTAAATTTCTTACTTAACCATATTTAGTTCTAATATAAAATTTAAATTTATTGTTTTATTTATAGTGGGTTAGTGATCTTGAAAGTGATAGGGCCTAGAACTTAGTATAACTATGATCTTATCTATATTCCTCCCAATTTGTGCCATTTATTCCCATGTAAATTAGTAAGGATATATGTAACTGGATGTGTTAAGTCAGAATACAGTTTACTTATCTTGTGGGTCAAATTTTAGTCATATATTTAATCCCATTAAATATTTAACTCTGGCATTATATAATATTTGATGGATTAATAATTTCAAACTGATCAAAAATATTTGTAGATGAAGAATGTGAAGAAGTAAATAAAATGAAAGATAATGGTGCTGGTGGAGTATTATGTTTTAATGAAGTACTACCAATCATGCAATTCATTGTTAGTAAAATAGATGAGACTCAAAAGTAAATATACTACAAACATTTATTATGTTTAAAGTTTGAATTCAAATTATATATTGTATGTCTATAGTGGCGACCGTTGTAGCCAAGCTGTTGTATTTTATCTTGAGTGTCTTCATACTCTTGTTGCCAGCTTACCTCAAAAAGTGCACGACAATCGTCACTTCACTATGTTTTTATGGCAACGACTATGTCCAGCTATCATAGCTTTTTTAGGGTCTCCTCGAGTTGACAAAAAAATAGTGTCAAGAGATGATGATAATACCACTAAGTTAGGCAGAGGCTCTGGTGTTTTAGGAAGTGCGCCTAGCTTTAACAGTCATCAATCTAAAATAATATACAGGTAATAATGGCAAAAGTACTATTTCTTATACTAACCTTTTACTTTTTAGCTTAATAAACTTACATGCTTATTACTAACAATTATTATAACATAACTAATACAAGGCATGTTATTTTAGTATTGGAAGTCAATTAGTGAGATTGGTTGGATGTGTAAGTTCTCTTAGGCCGGTTTTAGAATCGGTCTATCATAGAATGCTTTTATATCCACCACCTATCTATAGGATAGATGCTTTGAAAGCTTTAAAAGAGGTAAATATTTAGCTTTATTAGGAAAATTAATTAACTTTAATTTATACAAATAAAAGTAGCTTTATAAATTGTAATGAAATGAAAATGAATGATAACACTAGACATTTGATCTTAATTAAACTTAAAGACAAATTCAAATCCGTTTTCAGAATTCTTATGACATTACTATAACAATCAGTATATCTAAAAACCTATGTCGAGAATTTGTTGGTTGTCTAATTAAACCAAATGTAACCTGTATAATATTTGTTATTTGGATATTATTAATTTTCAAATATACTAACTGTTTTAAACATTTTAATTTAAAAAAAAAAAACCATCAACTGTGTTAAATAATAATCGCTATTTTTATTAATTTCATATTCTAAACAAAATATTCCTCTGAAATTGTTGATTTACAATATAAAAATTTAAACAAATTATAATATTAAATTCTAAACCATTCATTGATTATTTTTTATACTCTATGAGTATTTAAAGTTTCAATAAAAAAAGCAAAAGGATAGGGAATTAATTATAAAGTAAGGTTTAAATATTAAAATAACAAAAATACTAAGTAGCTTTGCCTTTAAATTCTTTTAACTATGCAATTATAATTGTTTATTTATTTTTATGATTTTAATAAGGAATTACTTATTTAAACATTTTATTTTGGTTTCAGTTATTGAGTAGTCCAAATAGGATTGTTGATTTTGCTGGACCAATACTTGTTGAAGATGATAAGATATGTCAACAAAGTGACATGGCATTAACTCGTTTGTTAGTATTTAATAAAATTTATATTGTTTTAAATATTTTGTTATGTATTTTTATTTTATTTTAGAGTGATGGATTCTATTGAAGAATGTTCTAAATGCATGGATTGGGATATTATATCTATAAGTGTTTCATGTATACTTTCTTTGCTTTCAACCCTTCTTGATCTATCTACTGGAAAAGGGATCAATGATATTTACACTGATAAGATAAATGAAACATTTCCGTCATTAGACAGTTGTGATTATACAGGGCCTTTAACTTATGAGTCTATGATGCGATTACCAAATATCTATAGAGAACAATTATCATCTTCAGATACATCTATTGGAAATAGGAGTCGTATAAATAGTACAAGTAGTAGTAGTGGAGTACCAAGTAGTGGTAATACAGAAGGTCCTGAAGGAGGATATCAAAATGATCCGCAGGTAATTCAATATGATATTTTACTTCTTGAATACATTTTTTGAAAAAATGATGCATTCTATATACCTATTTATTTTAATTATTTCAATTGTTCAGATTTTCAAATAATAAAATATCTTAATTCTTCAAATTTGATTTATCCAATGTTTTTTTAAATTTTAGATTGATGAAATGGAAGCAGTAGCTGAAAAAAACTTGAAAGAAGAAGCATTTCGTTTACAATTAGTGACAAAAAAGCTGAGTACACTCAATGTTATTCAGGTGACTCCAGTAAGTTTTATTAAATATATCAAAAATGAGATATGTATAGAAAAAATACATTATTTTTTTAAATTTTAAATTTATTTACATTGGTCCTTTTAAAACCAAACCACAACTTTATACACAATGTTATGTATACAGTTTTTTAAAATTAGTTATAAAACAAAATATTTTTTAAAAAACTTATTCTTAAGATTTAATTTTTTAATTTTAAAATAATAGTTTCTAATCATATTTAATAATGAAGTGAATCATAAATAATCAAGTGAATTATTAATAATTCTAATAACTTTTAGATTATGACCATAATCATTTATAAGCATTCTAGTATGTGTTTTAGTACTTAAGAAGTATTCCTCCATTTGTGATTGGTCCATTTCAATTGTGCTTGTATGTAGAAGTGTAATATTGTGTTACTCTTTCGTTGAGGATATTGATAGTATGATAAAACATTAATAGTGACTCAATAGATTAACACAGTATCTATAAATCACTTATATTGGTTCAATACACAGATGATCAAAGAATAATTATTACATTATTTTCTTTTTCATGATTTTCTTTCTGTGATTTATCTAACACAGTTTTACATAATAAATCATGGGTTATTTTAAACTAAGTGTTCATATGAAATTGCGGAGTGGGGGTAGCCAAGTCCTACAGACTAATCAATTTCACATTGATAACAGTTATACTTTCTCAAGTACACGATAAAACATAAACTAGGTAAATTTGAATCAACCAACCGGAATTCACCTGGTGCTGAAGTTTATCCAAAAATGTTATTATACGACTATCAGACATTTTTATTTTTTACAATGATGTGTACCTTTTTAATTTCTTCTTTGGTTAAACTAATTCTTTAAAAGTTTCATTCAGCACATTAATACATAGAAAATTGAATTTCAATGATGTTTTATTCTTCTATTTTAGTACTGACTATTATCAATGATCATTGATTAAATACTTTAAAAAATACTGATAAAGTGTAATAAAACAAGTTGCTTACAGTTGCTTTAATTTTAAAAAAAATATGATCCAACACTCAAAATATGAATTCTTTGAATGAAATATAGTTTTTATTTTTAATAATATGTTTAGATTTCATTTTCTAGTTTTATTTTTACTTAGGATGTTATATCCGCATCTACTGTCTCAGTATAACTACCGGATAACATGCAAAATCAATACTTACGTAGAATAAGTAAAACTGACTTAATTTTGAATTTAAAATAAAAGTACCGTTTATGAAATTCATAGAGAACAATATTTTGGAGAGAATGTCTTAGGGTTTTTGTATTCAAAATATACAGCTCGATATAAAAGATACAAAAACATTTTTTTTTTTTAATAGTTCATAATTCAAAAAACACCTTCCAATGATATTCCCTCCAAAATATTATTCTCTTTTAATTTAACGATTGGTAATTTTACTCTAATATCAAAATTAACTTATTTTGTGTAAGCGTTATTTTTTATATGTTACCTTGTAGTTGGACTGGGACTGTAGATGCTGATATAACATTATCTTAAAGTATAAACACAATTGATGATTTTAATATTAATAATAGGTATATAATGTTTTATATTTTCAGGAGTCTGTCGAATTATTGGACTTGGAAAAAAAAAATGCTGGCAATTTTATTCAAACTCTTGTTAGTTTTTTGCCAACATTATTACCACTTCGAAGTACATTACAAGTAGATGAAGAGATTCAAAGATTTTCTTCGAGTTTTTGTGAAGGTTATATTTTTTATTGAAAAGTTTACTCTTAATAATACATATGAATGATATTACAGTTTTTAAGTATATCATTAAGTGAAAAGTCTACCATTTTAATACAAAATATAGGTTTATTACATTATTATATTATATATTATACTTCAATTTAGAATAAAGTAAATTAATTTAATTAAACAGATACCTTTGAGATTAAGATTTGAATCTATGAAAACTCTGACATAATTTTTATATTTTATACTAATATAAAATAATTCATTGTTTTAAAAATTTTATTTCAGATATTATTAAACAAGAAAATAAAAAATATAGTTCAATCATTATAAATGCAGATGGTGTTTACATAGCAACTTTTATGTCATTATATCTAAATTTAAAGTTAATTAATCAGAACTATTATGATGATGATTCGTCTGTACTTCCCATTATGTCTGAAGTAAGTTTAAACAAATTTAATGACACAAAATTAAAACTTTAAAGCAGAAAAAACTATTAAACTTATTGAAGTGTTATATTTCCTAAGATTCAATTTCATTTTATTTATGATTATTTTTATGTTCTTATTGTTATTGAAAACGTTTTAATGGTGATAATTTTATTCATTAGGTCATGAATTTATTTTAATAATGATTTTGCCAAAAAAACTATTTTATGCACTTAAAGGTTTTTGTTTTATATTTATTTAAGTTACAATTATCATTGAGTGGGTTATTCTACAGGATCAATTTGTTGAAGAAATATACAGCAGTGGCATGTTAATGTATGTATCTAGAAGTTGGTTATCTGAGCTCTATCAACATGTTCTTGTTACTAATATTTTGGTATTATCCGGTTACAAGACTCAAGCTACTGGTCATTTGGCGCTAATAGATCTATTAACAGGTTCTTATAGGGTTTAACATTTTTTTTGTATGGTTTTTTGGCTTGAAGATTCGATAAGCATTTATATTATTTTAGCTTTTTTATGTTTGTTATGCTTTCTTTTGTTTGGTTATTTTATTTATTACTTCAATAAATTATTTGGAATACATATTTTGTGTTTATATTTTTCTAAGTATTTTCTGAGAGTTTCTTTGTTTTATTTTTATTGCAATGTAATAAAAAATAATATTTAGTTTGTTTTTAATTACAAAATTGATTTAAGTAGTCTAATTTTACTTTTAAGTATACGTTTTTAAATAACTTCCTATATCAAAATAAAAATCAATTTTTTTTGAAAAATTTAATGTCCATTTATTATATTTTTATTTTATTTATAAAATTGTTAAAAATTAAAAATGATCTGGTGGAGTGTACATGTAGATAAAAATGTTTATTATATTTCATGGTTATTTAAAAGTTATAAAAAATTATTCTAAACAAAAAATGTTTACTGTAAACTCAAATTTTTACTCTAAACATAGCTTCCAATAATATTATTCAAGAACACTGTTAAACTATTTAAGTAATCCACACATAGACATGTGACACTATAATTTCTGTTGGTTAAATAAACATTTATAATTTCAATAATTAAAAAATAATTCTAAAGAAGTGTGAATATATTTACTAATCAATAAACTAATTAGCCTTGAATTTTCTTTTCATATTTGTTGTAATTTATTCAACTCCAATTTTTGGGTATTTAATTACAACTAATAATCATTACAATTATAAAAAGTAATGTAAACTATTATCATTTGTTAAATTTAGTTTTATTAAAAAAAAATGTGGTACAAAATTGAATATATTTTTTTTTTCACTGGCATAAGTTCTTTAAATACTATTCTAATAGTTTTTTTTTTTTTTTTTTGTTAAATAGCACTTTAAACAATACAATTTTACTACTTATTAATACTATAATAATATTTGTATTACACATAATAGCCTGTATTAAATATTTTAACATATTTTTTTTTTTTACATACATTTTCAGATTTCTTGTAATATTTTATTTTATTCAAATGTTTGTTAATTATAATTTAGATATTGATGGTTATAGTTCTGAAAATAAACTTAATTGGTTGCTGTCTGATTGTCTTCGTTTAGAAAGAACAGTTTGTAGATCTGAAACGAGTCCTGATATTGATGCAGGTAATTTGAATTGAAATATGTACTGTTCAAAAATACATTTTAATTTAACATTAAAGAAAAAAAAGATATTGACAATGTACTTAAATAAGTACAAGCAAGTTATTTATTTATTTTTTTGTTAATTAGGTATAAAATTAAGTAGAAGAATAGTTACTTGTTGCTGGGATACTATGATGAGTGTTTTAGCTATTCCACTTCAATGTGATTCATCAAATGATTCAAAAAATACACAAGTTAAGAAGATGTTACGTAATGAACTTAACAAAGATTCTATTCGTCAAATGTCTGTGCAGCATAGTTTGGATGCTTTACAAAAAGCAGCTACTCTTGCAAATATTTTAGGTATGTAAGTTAAAAAACTTTAACATTTACATTAACTGATTTTTTTTTTTATTTGTCTCCAAAGTTTCCAACTTCAATGTCATTTATTTTTAAATTACTTACTCAATAATATGTATTTACTTTATTAGGCATGCATACAAGTTGTGAAGGTATATTTTCTTTACTGGTTAAAGCTTCTTGTGCTCAGAATGGTAATCTTAATTGGTTTTCTGGGATATTGAAAAAACAACCAAAGTTAATAACTTCACATGTTTTAAGTATGGACGTGATGCTTTCACGGGGTTTAGAATTTGGATGTCATGGTCAAGAATGCTGGCCACATATTTTTAAGTAGATTATTTATTTATATATTGATTAAAAATTATTACATTTTGAATTTTAATTTAACAGTTGTGCATTATATGTTGGATACTTGGAACAAGTATTTTTTCGACAAACACATTCTTCCGTTACTGCTTTAAAAATGGTTAAGCCTAAATTATTAAACACTGATAACTTAAACAAAAGTTTTGGTACTTCCATAGATAGTGATGAAGAAGTTTGGTAAGAAAATTTGTATCATACTAGTTTGTAAATTAAATAATTGTATGCATATTTTTGCTTTATTTAAGTATCTAAAAACAAATATTAGTTAATATATATTTTTAGGTACAATGTTATGTTTTTATGTTTATTTTATAATTTTATATTTAATTAAAATATATTTAAGATTTATTTATTTATACAGCTATATCACTATCTATATTTAATCAAATAAATATCGTATTTTTTTTTTTTAAATAAAAAAAAACAACTTTCAGCTATAACCAAATATTAAATTAGGAACAAAAAATGATTATTATTATAAATGTAATTATTTTATTTTTGTTTAGTATGGATGTATATAGTTTTTTGTCTTCGCCAACTTCTCCTAATAATTCAACAGAAACTATATCGACTTTAGTAAACAAGAGTAGAGCAGATATTGAAAACAATGGAGTATTAAACCAAGAATATGCTGCCCGAGTTGTATGCATTTTATCTCAATATGTTGATAGGTAATTATTAAAATGTATAATTGTAATTGTTTAATTTCGATCTAATTAATCTATTTTATAGATTATTTGAAGATGCTGCATTAAAATTGAATCTGCGAGCGTTAGCTGAATTTGTGAGCAGTTTATGTAAAACCATTCACCATGAATTGTTTGAAACGCCAGATCAAAAGAAATCTAAATCAAATAATAATACTAATAATGTTACTCTTTTAACTAGATTATCTCGTTTAATGTTACGATGCATTAAAAGTGGCCGTCCATTGTTTCATATGATGAAAATATGGTCAATTGTTTTGCCAAGTTTGATGGAAGTAAATATATTTTATGTTATAATTGTATATTTTGATTTGAAATTTAAAATTTGATTTTAGGTATCATGTCACAAAGATTTGGCATTATCTAAACAAGCTATAGTTTCTATTCATGATACTGTTTTATCTTTTCTTAATGATCAACCTGAACTTCCTAATTTTCATATCAATGAATCACTATTTAAGCCTTTTGAAAATCTTTTGTGTTTAGAATTATGCGATGTAGAAATTCAAGATCAAGTAAAATATTTTACTATTTAATTATTTACACTACACATTTATGTTGAACAATTACTAAATGTTTTTTATGATTTCATTGACAGATTGTCAGTTCTTTGTGCGAATTTGTCGAAGCTAATCGCTCAGATATTAGGTCTGGTTGGCGACCTTTGTTTGGTGCTCTCAAAGTAGTCAATAGTAGTCATTTATCATCCCTTTTAGAAGTATTCAGAGTTTTTCTTAATACAGATGACACATTAGCATTTTCAAATGCAGCCGTTGATTGTATAGCATGTCTTATTAAACATGTTAGAGGAACTAGTAAGCATATATTATAGTTTATATCTAAATAATATGATATTGAAATTACCGAGTTATTTCATTGATTTATTAGATTTTGATAATTCTGATGCTGATACTAAATTAGAATTATGCAAAGCGGCTCTTAATCATTTACAACATTGTAGTTTAATTTTAAGATCAATGTATATTATGCCAGCTTGTCCAAAATTCCATTTACCAAATCGGTAAAGTATTACATTTTTTTTTTAAACTTATGATTTACTTTATATAATGTAATTAGATACTATTTTTGAGTTAAGGACAACTTGTTCTCAATATTACAAATATAATAACTAAATTATTTGAAATAATTATTTTTTTGAGAATGTAAATATTACTTTTATTAATTACAAAGTATTTTATTTAGAAAACATGTCTTTACTTTGGTTGATAATGATGTACTTGAACTGCAAAATATTCAAAATGAAAACTATAAACAACTATCTATTGACGAATTAAAAGCTGAAGCTATAGTTTTAGAAGAAATTGATCAACCGTGTGGCATATTAAGAGTATGGTACTGCATTGTTGAAGGACTTTGTACTGCTATAACTGGTACAACTGCTATATATCAGAGGCAAAGTCTTGAGTTACTCTTGGACATAATACGGTCATTTTCAGAAACACCAGGTTATAATTTTTTTTAAGCACAAATATTAGTCTTAATAATAAATAACAATGAACACATTACAGGATTTATATTTGGTTGTTTTTGTATTAATCGACTACTTCTTCCTACCATACAAACATGGGCACGAAAAATGATATTGACACAAGACTTTAGTGATTTACCTAATTTCAAACAATTGTGTGGAAATTCAACTGATTTAATAGTTAACTACTTTAAAATAGACAAAAATTATAAGCCACAATTTGAAAAAGAAATAACACTTATGATGAAACAGTTATTATTCATATTAAATGAATTTTGTGTTCAAACAGTAGAGAACATTGTCCGATTAGGATGTGCTTGTTTGAGACATTTTGTTTTGGGAGCTGGAGATAATTTTACTACACGACAATGGGATCTGATCAGTTTCAGTTTACATAGAGCTTGTGCTATGTCTCTGCATCCATTAACGAGAGTGTCAATGACTTATAGTCCATTTTCAGATAGTTTTTATGGTGATTTAGCAGCTGGAATAAAAGTGGCTGCTAGAAGAGATAGTACTGTAGATGATAATTTACATTTAAAGCAATTATCTCAACAAGTAAGATTTGATATTTTGCAGAAAAAAATATATTATGTTATATATGAAAAAGAAAACTGCAAACATCAATCATATAATAACAGATAAATGTTAAATAAAACAAAAATATTAAAATACCTTATTTTTATTAATATAATAGTATTTTCTCCTTGAAACCACCATTACAGACAGTAATATCACGTGTGAGGGTTCAATTTTTTTTTTTTTGTTTATTCTACTTTGTCAAACTCCTCTCACACAACTAAAGGTTAAATTTAAACTCTTGGTTAAATAATAATAATTTTTTTTTTTTCAATATTTTTTGGTTTTCTTTTGATATATGTTAGAAAGTTGTGAAAGTAAATTGAAAAACAATAAAACAAAAATCTTTTTGGTCTGTAAGGGATTATTTTATAATGATAATCTTCTTATTATTAAAATAAAAGTCAAATGATAACTAAAACATCTTTTTAATAAAAAAAAAAAAAAAAACTATTTTTTGTGGGCATAAAGATGTAAATAAATGTTTTATTATTATCTAATTTTACAAGGATCACAAAAACAATTATACTATTTAACATTGTTTTATTATATTCATAACATCCTTATAAAAAGTATACTAAATAAAGTGTTGTATAACTTCACCTAACCTAGCATGTATATAAAATAATAAATTACTTTTTGATAAACATTTGATTGGCATTTTTAAATTCTGCTTAAAATATAATTATTATGTTATACAAATTTAATTACAACGTGTTTTAGGTTTTTCTGTTAGACCATCAAAGAGTTAAAAGTGATACAATTATTGATGATGAAAGAAGTTTTATATTTTTATTATGTCATCACTGGTGTAATTCAGAAATAGATGATCAATGGCAAAAAATACCAGAACGTGTTCCCTACAAAAATATAGTTCTTGGATTATTTGTAAATGAGATGTTATTACAAATGATTGGGAATGTGTTAGTAAAGGGTACCAACAAGGGTATTCCAAGGTATTTATTTGAAAATTTGTGTCTCTTTTTATATTACAATAAAAAATAATTTTTTCTAGTTTAGCAAATATTCTTCTTCATTCATCGTTAATGACGCCTATGGACGAAAATTCATCCAAAACACTTGACCACCCTATGCCTGGTTACTTGTCCTCACTCACCAATTCTCAAATTCACACATTTATTTCATGTTTGAATATGACTTATAGTATGTCTTGGGAATTTGATTCTAGACCCGGTTTAAAATTCCTAATCCAAAAAGTCGCCGGTTTAGAGAAAGCAGCTAATCTATACAAACAGGCTGGAGGAGCTTGGACTCTTGCCTTAGTTGCGCTCTTTGAGATATGTTTATATCACACATCTCTCTTAAATTCTGATCAGATTAGAATCATTGTAGATAAAAAGTCGCCTACTAATGACACTGAAAGTTTTATTCTCGAACTCAAACGTATATTTGACGACGCCTGTCAAAAGTATGTTGAAATAGTGATGGATAAAAGTGGTACACACTGTGCTATTGATAGAGCAGGAGATAAACCAGTGTTCTTCTTTGTAGCACAAAATGATGATATTTTTGAAACAAATGAGAAACCTACTGCATTCAAGTTTGAAGATTTTAAAAAAATATATCCTGATGCTCCATTAACATCAAAAAATGAAGAAAGCGGTAGTGATGATGATAATGATAATGTTGATGATGCTATATATGCGATAGCTAGTTGTAAAAATTTGGATAATCTAATTGAAGAATATAAAAAGAGGAAACACGCAAACTCTATGCCAGGACAACCTGATTCTGTTGAAAAAATCGAAGAGAATTTACCAGCAGAAATTGAAGAACAAAGACAAACTAGTATGAGCAAGGTAATTTATCAAATTTGTTGATAAAACTCAAAATGTTACCAATTTACATGAAATATAAATTAGTTATTAAAACATTTAATTTGTAGGACAGTGAAGTGCATGAGGCTGTTTGGTCAGAGATGTTAATATCAGTTTTTGATCTGTTAGCACAGCTAGATGATGACTCGTTCAAATTATTGTTACCAGTCTTATTCAATGGAGTTAGAATTTTGACAGAATCCGCTACTAGGCCTCTTCTGAAACGTACTCTTGGGGAATTTTATCAAAGGGTAGCTTTTATTTTTGGATTTGGTCCATAGTTATTTTATATTTTATTTTCCCATGGAATTTTTCAAAAGTTATTAACATGTATTTAGGTAAGTTTGATTTATTTTAATTGTATATCTGTTAATTTATATCAAGAATTTTATAGCACCAGAGACTGAAATTCTATCATTCAGCTTTAACCTTTTATTGTTCTTAAAATAAAATGTTAATATAGATATTTAAATAATAAAATATCTATAAACTATTATATAAATAACAACAATAATATTTAGTAGATATGTAGTTCATACATTAATTTTACCATTGCCATTGATTTAATTGGTCAAAAAATAAATACAAAAATATAATCATATAATATTTTTATTTCTTTTCATATTAAACTTGAACATTTTGACTTCTCCAATAATATTTATTCTCCATTTAAGATCTAAAATTAATTTATGTATATTATAGATTTTGTTATCTAAATAATTGAGTGTTCAAAAAAAAAATAAAAAATACTGCTTTATGTCTTTTTGTGTGATAAAAATATGTTATAAGTCATAACTAATTTTTTTAAATAAAAGCTTTAGAAAAATGTAAAACCACCAATAATGGTATACTTAAATATTTAATTAAAAGATTATTATAATAAATATTAAATAATCTTTTGAGTGGTTGATCTTACAGTTTATACATTTAACAACTATAAAAATATTAACAATTAAATTATAAATATATTATATTTTGTATTCTTCTTCTTCTTTCTTGGTTTCGGCCATTCAAGACCATACCTAGATAAGGATAGATCTATCTTATCTATTATATTATAATATAATATTTTGTATTAGTTACTTAATATTATTTATGAAAAAAAAAAATGTCATGAACTAAATTGAATACTATTGACTTCTATTAAATATTAAAAATAAAAATTTGTATATAAAAATCAAACAATTATTGGATAGTTATTATTTTGTATGTTTTTACCAAATAAATTATCATGGACTAAATATTTTGTTTAAAAGATACTAGATTAAGAGGATGTTTGACCGGCATCTACTGTCTCAGTCTAACTACCAGATAACATGCAAAAAACCATACTTACAGAGAATAAGTAAAACTAGCTTAATTTTGATTTTAGAATGTAAGTATATATAATGAAATTTACAGAGAACAATATTTTGGAGGAAATAGAATTATTATTACTTACTATGATATTAGTGTCATATGTTTTTTTCTAACTGTAAAAAGTTTTTGTTTTACAAACCTTTAGGAGTGGTCTGTTTTAATTAAGTTTAATTTTTAATTTCATTTAGTTGATACATTAGGAAAGTTATTTTTTATTTTTCTTTCTCTTGATAAAGGGTGAAAACTGAAAAAAGTCAGAAAGTTCATGGAGTAACGGATTTTGTTAAAGCCAATTTCGTTTTATTGTTGTAATCTTATTAAAAATAATCGTGATGGTTGAAGTTTTTATTGATTAATTATTTATATCAAGTAGGATATTAGTTTATTAAAATTAGTAATTTCTAAAATAAATGACACAATTTTCGAAATATTATGGATTTTTTGATATAAATTTAATTGCATGCATTTTCAAGCATTTTTGATTTTATTTTATGTGGATACATTTGATTATAAATTCGAAAATGGTTTACAAAATTTCTCATAAGTTGTTTTTAGACTATTTATTTATAAAAAAAATATCAAAAATTCGTATTTATGATTGTTATTTTTTTTTATTAGTGTTAGATATTCAAATGTATGATAAAATGTGAATAATATAATTTAATTTATAAAATATTAATTTTAAATTCATAAAAACAAAATTAACTAATTTAGCTTAAAAATGGTTTTTTGTTTAAAATAATAGGTAATTTATCGTTGAATACAGTATAGGTATATAAACTAAATTATCCTATTTTGGGTTAATTTTATTGATTGATCGGTTGGTATTCCACATTATTTGCTTAATACTTTATTTAATTTTGATGAATATAATAAAGATAAGTTAATTAATAAATTATTATTTTAATTTTGAATACTAATAATACTATTCATTTACTTTCAATAATAGTATTTAACACTGTTTTACAATTAAATAAACATTACCTACATAGTAAATTTATTTTCTGTTTCATCAATCGGTGGGCATTTTCAGCTATGTCTTGGATAGACAGTTGGTTTAGAACACATTTAATAGGATAAAATCGATTTTATTACCATTATACTACGTGTATTGAATGAGACTTAGTGAATAAAACAGAAACAAAGAAAATTCTTAACAAGTTTACTATAACTAATTGAAAAATTAATTTATCGTAAAAAATAAATTTTTTATTTATATTTTTTTTTATTATGTGGTTTAGTATTTTATTATGTTTTAAATAATTTGTAAAAATATTTAAGATTCTAGCACTCATAACAATTATTTTACTTGCCCTGTCCATGATAATAGTTCTTTTTAGACTTGGTACAATTTACAACATATTCTGGTGTTTTTAAATTATGAATAGCTATTTGAAATTTTTAAGTTTTTGTTTCTTTTATGTGTATAGGTACAAGCGTTGTCATTTATTCTTATAAACGATTTAAGTTCAAATTTATGTTAAAACTCACGTAAAGAAAAACAATTAATTATTTTTTAGTTTCAAATTAATACAATTTTCAATTCAAATTTATCCAAACATGTTTAACCGAACTCACCTTAGGGTCGTATTATGAAAAAACAAATGCATTTTAAGTGTACCTACAGAATTACCTATCGCTCACTCGGATGATTTTAATCTAATCAAAAAATACTCCTCGATTTATTGCGCAAACTTTTCTACCGGAAATCTTGCTCCCATGTATCAAGTGTAACCTATTTTCTGAAAGAAAATATTATCCCCGTAGTTTGGGTAGGTCATTTTTGTGATTTTTTAATCGGTCTTCATAGTAACTTGGAAAAACCGGGATAAAATGTCGGAAAAACAGAAAATGTACGAAATGTAGGTGTTAGTAAAAAAATATTATGGCCCTTTTTTTTCTGTCATAATTTTTCTACCAGCAATTTCGATCCAATTTACAATAATAGCACTTTTTCTGAAAGTAAATTTGACTGGGAAGGTACTTTAGGGAGGTCATTTTTCGATTTTGCCAAGAGTTTTCTTAGCAAATGTGATAATCCGGGAAAAAACATGAAAATCGATAAAATATCAATTGAATATTATTAAAAAAAATATATAATGCCTATTTAATTATTTTACCATAATTTAACATACATATTTTTGACAAAGCAACACTATCAACTGAACAACTAACAACTGAACATTAATATACTTTAAATTCCCTTCTGTATCCTACCTTTCTAACTAGCCACTTACAACAGTGGCAGTATGTCCGTCTTTTTTAAATATTTTTTTACAATAGTAAATTATTAGTAACGTATTGACACTGCATGTCAACCTTTAACGATTCAAATGTACTGGCCAACATCTGAAAATAACCCAGTATGATGGTGGTGGCATCGGCGGTGTCCATTTTTTTTTGTTTTCTCAAGTAGGTACGCTAAAATATGTGAACAAAAATACTATAATTTGAAAAACAGTACGGATTATGGCGCTTCTCTGGTTGCATTGTCGCTATGGAATGATGGGTGGCGGGCCGAGGTCCACAATTTTTTTTTTTTCAACCATAGAAGTCTACTTTTTGTTTTTAATACGGATTTTAACGCGATTACGCGTTTTATCAGTTTGAAGCCGAAGTGGCAACGTGTTTGAACAGTTTTACGTCCATCGATATTTATTTTTTAGTTAGCGGTGTGCGTGTTTTTTTATTTTTTTCCCATCGTTTCAATTAATAATCGCGGTACGGTAACATACCTATACATAGTATAATATGGCACATTGGTATTTCAACAAGGCGGCGGCCGCCGTAAACCTGCTCCGGTATAACGTGCACATGGCCGGTACCGGCGGTACCGGTAACACTTGGTACTATCCGCCGACGGTGCTGGACGAGAACGGACAGCTGTGGGGCAGCAGCGCCGACCACTTGAACCGGGTGCTGGAAAATCGGGCGGTCGTCCGCCATTACTACAGATCGCTTTTGCCGGACGCGCCGGCCCCGCCGCTGCTGGGCCGGGCCGGACACGTGGCCGCGGTCGAGTCGTTCACTGCGGACCTGCTGACGTACTACCAGCCGCTGTTGGACATAGTCGACGGGTACAGCACCGACCTGGGCGCCCAGACCGTCTTCCTGATGGCCGAGGCCAAAATGCTCTACAACGTCGTATTGGCCATGCGCCAGTGACATCGCCGCCGTCACGAAAACGTATAACCGGGGAAAACGAAAAAAAAATTAAAATACTTATTTTTTGTGAACTGTTTTTTCCTACGCTGCAGGTAACAACAATAAACGAACCGGTTATTTAAACTTAACATTTTTCGTCTCGAATTTTGTGCCTTTTTTCTCGGGTTTCAATCGACTGCCTATAGCTTATAATTATAAGGAAAATCGAATTCACGTGTTTAGTCGGGGGGGAGGGGGTACACATGTGCGGGCCGAACGTACCGCGAACCGATAGCGACAATTATTTGGACGGCGTATGAAACGTCCAAAGAGCCGCTAGCGCCGATCCATCGAGAGTCGGTGTTTTTGATGAACACGACGCGTTGACAGGTTCGTCAGTGTGCGTGGCATTAGCGTACATGACGAACACTTCGCGGTATGTTCGGCTCGCACATTTCTACCCGGCTTAGATCTCTAAAGAATATGCCATTATATAGAAATAAGTATGCTCTTTCGTTTGGAATAGTCAGATTTTCGAAAATCAGCTTAGAAATATCACTTTTTTCCAAATTAAAATTGAAAAAACCATGAAAATTCGCTATTGAACGATACTCAAATTTTGTCTATATTCTTCATAAAATTTTAACTATTTAGAAATGATCTCTAAAGAATATGCCATTATATAGAAAAAAGTATGCTCTTTCGTTTGGAATTGACCGATGTTCGAAATTCGGCTTAGAAGTATCACTTTTTTTCAATTTAGTATTGAAAAAACCGTGAAAATTCGCTAACGAACGATACTAAAATTTTGTCTATATTCCTCATAAAATTTTAACTATTTAGAAAAAATCTTTAAAGAATATGCCATTATATAGAAAAAAGCATGCTCTTTCGTTTGGAATAATCAGATGTTCGAAAATCGGCTTAGAAATACCACTTTTTTTCAATTTAAAATTGAAAAAACCGTAAAAATTCGCTATCGAACGATACTCAAATTTTGTCTATATTCTTCATAAAATTTTAACTATTTAGAAATGATCATTAAAGAATATGCCATTATATAGAAAAAAGTATGCTCTTTCGTTTGGAATTGACCGATGTTCGAAATTCGGCTTAGAAGTATCACTTTTTTTCAATTTAGTATTGAAAAAACCGTGAAAATTCGCTAACGAACGATACTAAAATTTTGTCTATATTCCTCATAAAATTTTAACTATTTAGAAAAAATCTCTAAAGAATATGCCATTATATAGAAAAAAGTATGCTCTTTCGTATGGAATGGACCGATGTTCGAAAATCGGCTTAGAAATATCACTTTTTTTCAATTTATTATTGAAAAAACCGTGAAAATTCGCTATCGAACGATACTAAAATTTTGTCTATATTATTCATAAAATTTTAACTATTTAGAAAAGATCTCTAAAGAATATGCCATTATATAGAAAAAAGTATGCTCTTTCGTTTGGAATAGACCGATGTTCGAAATTCGGCTTAGAAGTATCACTTTTTTTCAATTTAGTATTGAAAAAACCGTGAAAATTCGCTATCGAACGATACTAAAATTTTGTCTATATTCTTCATAAAATTTTAACTATTTAGAAAAGAGCTCTAAAAAATATGCCATTATATAGAAGAAAGTATGCTCTTTTGTTTGGAATGGACAGATGTTCGAAAATCGGCTTAGAAATATCGCTTTTTTTCAATTTATTATTGAAAAAACCGTGAAAATTCGCTATCGAACGATACTAAAATTTTGTCTATATTCTTCATAAAATTTTAACTATTTAGAAAAAATCTCTAAAGAATATGCCATTATATAGAAAAAATTATGTTTTTTCGTTTGGAATGGACCGATGTTTGAAAATCGGCTTAGAAATATCACTTTTTTTCAATTTAATATTGATAAAACCGTGAGAATTCGCTATCGAACGATACTAAAATTTTTTCTATATTCCTCATAAAATTTTAACTATTTAGAAAAGATCTCTAAAGAATATGTTATTATATAGAAAAAAGTATGCTCTTTCGTTTGGAATGGACAGATGTTCGAAATTCGGCTTAGAAATGTCACTTTTTTTCAATTTAATATTGAAAAAACCGTGAAAATTCGCTATCGAACGATACTAAAATTTTGTCTATATTCTTCATAAAATTTTAAGTATTTAGAAAAGATCTCTAAAGAATATGCCATTATATAGAAAAAAGTATGCTCTTTCGTTTGGAATAGTCAGATTTTCGAAAATCAGCTTAGAAATATCACTTTTTTCCAAATTAAAATTGAAAAAACCATGAAAATTCGCTATTGAACGATACTCAAATTTTGTCTATATTCTTCATAAAATTTTAACTATTTAGAAAAGATCTCTAAAGAATATGCCATTATATAGAAATAAGTATGCTCTTTCGTTTGGAATAGTCAGATTTTCGAAAATCAGCTTAGAAATATCACTTTTTTCCAAATTAAAATTGAAAAAACCATGAAAATTC